GATCCAGAAGAGGATTGGGAGAATGTCATATGGTCAGATGAAACCAAAATAGAACTTTTTGGTAAAAACTCAACTCGTCGTGTTTGGAGGACAAAGAATGCTGAGTTGCATCCAAAGAACACCATACCTATTGTGAAGCATGGGGGTGGAAACATCATGCTTTGGGGCTGTTTTTCTGCAAAGGGACCAGGACGACTGATCCGTGTAAAGGAAAGAATGAATGGGGCCATGTATCGTGAGATTTTGAGTGAAAACCTCCTTCCATCAGCAAGGGCATTGAAGATGAAACGTGGCTGGGTCTTTCAGCATGACAATGATCCCAAACACACCGCCCGGGCAACGAAGGAGTGGCTTTGTAAGAAGCATTTCAAGGTCCTGGAGTGGCCTTGCCAGTCTCCAGATCTCAACCCCATAGAAAATCTTTGGAGGGAGTTGAAAGTCTGTGTTACCCAGCGACAGCCCCAAAACATCACTGCTCTAGAGGAGATCTGCATGGAGGAATGGGCCAAAATACCAGCAACAGTGTGTGAAAACCTTGTGAAGACTTACAGAAAACGTTTGACCTGTGTCATTGCCAACAAAGGGTATATAACATAGTATTGAGAAACTTTTGTTATTGACCAAATACTTATTTTCCACCATAATTTGCAAATAAATGCATAAAAAATCCTACAATGTGATTTTCTGGATTTTGTTTTCTCATTTTGTCTGTCATAGTTGACGTGTACCTATGATGAAAATTACAGGCCTCCATCATCTTTTTAAGTGGGAGAACTTGCACAATTGGTGGCTGACTAAATACTTTTTTTGCCCCACTGTACCCAATACACACAAATCTAAGTAAGGAATGGAATTAAGAATATATACATATATGGACGAGCAACGAAAGAGCGGCATGGACTAAGATACAGTGGAATGTTATACAGACATGGAGAGTGACAACCTGTCCTAGCTGTCCCAGGCCTTTGGGATCATCTCCCTACTGGAGGTAGAGGTGAATGAGCTTTGTGGTGAGGTGACAGTTCTGAGGCAGGATAAGGAGGAGTTGAGAGAGAAACTGGCAACAGTCGAGAGCATCATTAGTAGAGAGATAGCTGACATCAGGGAGGAGCTACAAAGGGAGTTGCCTACCACAACCCTCACATCCCCTCATCGGCAGTACCACTGCCAGCGGAGACATGCTGGGACCCTCAGGAGAGAGGAAGACAACAAAACTCCACATGTGGTCCCCACCCCACTTGATCCAAAGAACATAACTTCAGACACCACAGCCCACAACAGCAGCACACAGGCAGAGCACCCCATGTCCTTCATTTTATGTGACTCCAATGGGACATTTCTCAAAGAGAAACTGCTAATCCAAGGCATGTCAGTCAGAAAGCTACAGTGAGGGAAAAAAGTATTTGATCCCCTGCTGATTTGTACGTTTGCCCACTGACAAAGAAATGATCAGTCTATAATTTGAATGGTAGGTTTATTTGAACAGTGAGAGGCAGAATAACAACAACAAAATCCAGAAAAACGCATGTCAAAAATGTTATAAATTGATTTGCATTTTAATGAGGGAAATAAGTATTTGACCCCATCTCAATCAGAAAGATTTCTGGCTCCCAGGTGTCTTTTATACAGGTAACGAGCTGAGATTAGGAGCACACTCTTAAAGGGAGTGCTCCTAATCTCAGCTTGTTACCTGTATAAAAGACACCTGTCCACAGAAGCAATCAATCAATCAGATTCCAAACTCACCACCATGGCCAAGACCAAAGAGTTCTCCAAGGATGTCAGGGACAAGATTGTAGACCTACACAAGGCTGGAATGGGCTACAAAACCATCGCCAAGCAGCTTGGTGAGAAGGTGACAACAGTTGGTGCGATTATTCGCAAATGGAAGAAACACAAAAGAACTGTCAATCTCCCTCGGCCTGGGGCTCCTTGCAATATCTCACCTCGTGGAGTTGCAATGATCATGAGAACGGTGAGGAATCAGCCCAGAACTGAGTCCCGTCTGAAGTTTGCCAATGAACATCTGAATGATTTAGAGGAGAACTGGGTGAAAGCTCAGGTACCCCTGCTCAAGAAAGCACATATACATGCCCGTCTGAAGATTGCCAATGAACATCTGAATGATTCAGAGGAGAACTGGGTGAAAGTGTTGTGGTCAGATGAGACAAAAATCGAGCTCTTCGGCATCAACTCAACTCGCCGTGTTTGGAGGAGGAGGAATGCTGCCTATGACCCCAAGAACACCATCTCCACAGTCAAACATGGAGGTGGAAACATTATGCTTTGGGGGTGTTTTTCTGCTAAGAGGACAGGACAACTTCACCGCATCAATGGGATGATGGACGGGGCCATGTACCATCAAATCTCGGGTGAGAACCTCCTTCCCTCAGCCAGGGCATTGAAAATGGGTCGTGGATGGGTATTCCAGCATGACAATGACCCAAAACACACGGCCAAGGCAACAAAGGAGTGGCTCAAGAAGAAGCACATTAAGGTCCTGGAGTGGCCTAGCCAGTCTCCAGACCTTAATCCCATAGAAAATCTGTGGAGGGAGCTGAAGGTTTGAGTTGCGAAACGTCAGCCTCGAAACCTTAATGATTTGGAGAAGATCTGCAAAGAGGAGTGGGACAAAATCCCTCCTGAGATGTGTGCAAACCTGGTGGCCAACTACAAGAAACGTCTGACCTCTGTGATTGCCAACAAGGGTTTTGCCACCAAGTAATAAATCATGTTTTTCAGAGGGGTCAAATACTTATTTCCCTCATTAAAATGCAAATCAATTGATAACATTTTTGACATGCATTTTTCTGGATTTTTGTTGTTGTTATTCTGTCTCTCACTGTTCAAATAAACCTACCATTAAAATTATAGACTGATCATTTCTTTGTCAATGGGCAAACGTACAAAATCAGCAGGTGATCACATACATTTTTCCCTCACTGTATGGTGCCCAACAACAGCAAGTGCCTTGAAAATTCTGTCAAGCAACAAATTAAATGGTGCCAACCATATTATAATTCACACAGGTATAAATGATTTGATGAAAGAGGAAAAAAGTTTTTAGTCAGCCACCAATTGTGCAAGTTCTCCCACTTAAAAAGATGAGAGAGGCCTGTAATTTTCATCATAGGTACACTTCAACTATGACAGACAAAATGAGAAAAAGAAATCCAGAAAATCACATTGTAGGATTTTTAATGAATTTATTTGCAAATTATGGTGGAAAATAAGTATTTGATCAATAACAAAAGTTTCTCAATACTTTGTTATATACCCTTTGTTGGCAATGACACAGGTCAAACGTTTTCTGTAAGTCTTCACAAGGTTTTCACACACTGTTGCTGGTATTTTGGCCCATTCCTCCATGCAGATCTCCTCTAGAGCAGTGATGTTTTGGGGCTGTCGCTGGGCAACACGGACGTTCAACTCCGTCCAAAGATTTTCTATGGGGTTGAGATCTGGAGACTGGCTAGGCCACCTCAGGACCTTGAAATGCTTCTTACGAAGCCACTCCTTCGTTGCCTGGGCGGTGTGTTTGGGATCATTGTCATGCTGAAAGACCCAGCCACGTTTCATCTTCAAAGCCCTTGCTGATGGAAGGAGGTTTTCACTCAAAACCTCACGATACATGGCCCCATTCATGCTTTCCTTTACACGGATCAGTCGTCCTGGTCCCTTTGCAGAAAAACAGCCCCAAAGCATGATGTTTCCACCCCCATGCTTCACAGTAGGTATGGTGTTCTTTGGATGCAACTCAGCATTCTTTGTCCTCCAAACACGACGAGTTGAGTTTTTACCAAAAAGTTATATTTTGGTTTCATCTGACCATATGACATTCTCCCAATCCTCTTCTGGATCATCCAAATGCACTCTAGCAAACTTCAGACGGGCCTGGACATGTACTGGCTTAAGCAGGGGGACACGTCTGGCACTGCAGGATTTGAGTCCCTGGTGGCGTAGTATATTACTGATGATAGGCTTTGTTACTTTGGTCCCAGCTCTCTTTTCAGGTCATTCACTAGGTCCCCCCGTGTGGTTCTGGGATTTTTGCTCACCGTTCTTGTGATAATTTTGACCCCACGGGGTGAGATCTTGCGTGGAGCCCCAGATCGAGGGAGATTATCAGTGGTCTTGTATGTCTTCCATTTCCTAATAATTGCTCCCACAGTTGATTTCTTCAAACCAAGCTGCTTACCTATTGCAGATTCAGTCTTCCCAGCCTGGTGCAGGTCTACAATTTTGTTTCTGGTGTCCTTTGACAGCTCTTTGGTCTTGGCCATAGTGGAGTTTGGAGTGTGACTGTTTGATGTTGTGGAGAGGTGTCTTTTATACTGATAACAAGTTCAAACAGGTGCCATTAATACAGTTAACGAGTGGAGGACAGAGGAGCCTCTTAAAGAAGAAGTTACAGGTCTGTGAGAGCCAGAAATCTTGCTTGTTTGTAGGTGACCAAATACTTATTTTCCACCATAATTTGCAAATAAATTCATTAAAAATCCTACAATGTGATTTTCTGGATTTATTTTTCTAATTTTGTCTGTCATAGTTGACGTGTACCTATGATGAAAATTACAGGCCTCTCTCATCTTTTTAAGTGGGAGAACTTGCACAATTGGTGGCTGACTAAATACTTTTTTTCCCCACTGTAGCTCCTGCAATGCAACAAGTGGCAGCCAGAGCTGCAGAGAGATTTCCTAATACCAAAATCACTAAGTCCACCTTGTTGCCACGTGGAGATGTGCCCTTCCACATTATTCAGAGCAACAACACTGAGCTGTGTAGAGGCTGTGCTCTCTTGGACAATGTTTACCTAGCGAACCACCATGACATTCACCCCTAGATTGATGCACGACCTAGTATACTTGAACAACTTGTGTAAAGGTGTTTGCTAGGAAACTGAAAGAAACGGCTCAGGGAAAAAGCAAAAACATACATCCTCCAAGGTCACGACCACTAGCCCAGCACCCCGGGCCACATCCAGAGAGGCCAACTCCACCTTACACCATCGGGCTCCATCCAGAACAGCTAACACCACCCTGCACCATCTGGCCACATCTAGAGGCCAGCTCCACCCTACACCAGCAGGCCCCTTCCAGAGTGGCCAACACCACCCTGCACCATCGGTCCCCTTCCAGAGTGGACAGCACCCCCTCACGCTAACAGCACAACACCACAATCAGAAGAGACCAACAGTCAGCAAGACAGCTACACAGAAGTGGCATGAAGAATAGAGCAACCTGCTGCAGCAGAGCTAAACCAAGGCATCTGCTGAACATAATCTGCTCAAAAATCCATTAATTATTTATTTGTTATTATCAGAAATATAATTTTTAGAAGCACAATTTATTATCATTATGAGTTCAGTTTTAGATAAGCTACACAGGAAAGTGGTTAAAATTAGCACATATAAATATGAGATTAGTAATTTGCTAATCTTAGATAATATGAATATAATAGCAATTTCTGTGACTCACTTAGAAAGCACCTTTGATAATACAGCAGTATGAATACAAGGATATAACATCTATAGAAAAAGTTTTAGAACACCTACTCATTCAAGGGTTTTTCTTTAATTTAACTACTTTCTACATTGTAGAATAATAGTGAAGACATCAAAACTATGAAATAACACATATGGAATCATGTAGTAGCCAAAAAAGTGTTAATTCAAAATATATTTTATATTTGAGATTCTACAAATAGCCACCCTTTGCCTTGATGACAGCTTTGCACACTTTTGGCAAAGCTGGGGGGAGATATACTTTTTTTTTCAACAATAGAAGAAAATACACATACAAACAACATACAAATGCACTCAAACATCAATGCTCACACCCCCCACCTCCAGCATCACTGTCCTCAAACTGTTTTGTTTCGCTCCGTCGCCCATGCACTTTCAACTTTTAGATAATAAAGCATCAACATTTAAATAATAAAGCATTTGAGGTTTCCATTGTGTTAACGATGGAGGATTGGTTGATTTCCAGTTTTTAAGTATGCATTTTTTCAAGATAATTGACAAGAAAAGTATCGTCCAACCCATCGGCTATCTAACTGCACCCTCATATGCCATGTCTTGAAATATGCAGACAGGCGGATTAAAAGTTCATTTACATTGTAATACTTCTGACAGAAAATAGGATTCCCTCAAGATTTCTCTGATGTCCAGAAGATTTCAAATCGAAATTTCGTGATATGAAACTTTTAAGTTGCATGTATTTGAAAATATCTACATTGGTCAGTCCAAAATAAATAAATGTATTTCCTATTACCAAGTAATTTACAGTTTCTATGCCTTTAGTTTTCCATGTGGGCCAATTTATCGCTGAATTCTGAAAAGCTATCCAAAGATTTGTTCCATAGGGCTGTGTTTTTAAGGAGTGATATTGGTTCTTGTTTCATTTTGTTCCATATCGTTATAGTGTTCTTAACTATGAAGTTGTTAATGTTCTTAGCTTTATCATTTGAAAATCGACATGTGAAAAGATTAAGGGATGAGCATGTGCATCTTCAATATGTACTCATTGTTCCTCTTTAGTGCAAGTAAAAGCCTTGGGTGGCGAGTTGATACAATTCCATGTCTGGAAGGTTAAAACCACCCTCAGACTTAGGAAGATGTAAAACCATTCCTGGTGCTTTTCTCCGCGCGAATGTTTTAACAGTGTCTACATTTTCTTTTTGGGTGATCTCTGTTTTTAGTGATTATTTTTTGTCTGCTGACAATTGCTTCAGGGTTGTTGAGTGTAAGAAGGCTGTAGGATCAGTCCAACTGCTGTTTAATTCTGATTTATATGATTTTTAGAGAAGCTTTTAAAAGAATAACATTTGGCAGCAATTACAGCTATGAGTCTTTCTGGGTAAGTGTCGAAGAGCTTTGCACACCTGGATTGTACAATATTTGCCCATTATTCTTTTCAAAATTCTTCAAGCTCTGTCAAATAGGTTGTTGATCATTTCCACTCAGGAACAATCCCTGTCTTCTTGGTAAGCAACTCCAGTGTAGATTTGGCCTTGTGTTTTAAGTTATTGTCCTGCTGAAAGGTGAATTCATCTCCCAGTGTCTGGTGGAAAGCAGACTGAACCAGGTTTTCCTCTAGGATTTTGCCTGTCCGTTTATTTTTTATACTGAAAAATTCTCCAGTCCTTGACGATTACAAGCATACCCATAACATGATACAGCCACCACTATTCTTGAAAATATGGAGAGTGGTACTCAGTCATGTGTTGAATTGGATTTGCCCCAAACATAACACTTTGTATTCAGGACAGAAAGTTAATTGTTTTGCCACATTTTTTGCAGTATTACTTTAGTGCCTTGTTGCAAACAGGATGCATGTTTTGGAATATTATTCTGTACAGGCTTCCTTCTTTTCTTTTCATGTGCAGTAGCTAATGGGGATCCTATTAAACTAAACTAAACTCTCTCTATCTCCCTCATTCCCTTTCTCCTGCCCTCCCTCCCCCTCCCTCCTTCCCCCCTCTCTCTGTTAAAATTGGAAGCAGTGTGTGTTTTAGTGCCACTGCAGCAATGAGTGATGGGGATAAGCAGGCACAGGGAGGCAATAGTGACAGATCCCACCAGCCATGCATGATACATTTGGAAAGAGGCTCAGTGGATATACATTGCATTCGGAAAGTATTCAGACCCCTTGACGTTTTCCACATTTTGCTACGTTACATCCTTATTCTAAAATTGATTAAATTGTTCCCCCCCCCCCCCCATCAATCTACACACAATTCCCCATAATGACAAAGTACCTTTGGCAGCGATTACAGACTTGAGTCTTTTGGGTATGACGCTACAAGCTTGGCACACCTGTATTTGGGGAGTTTCTCCCATTCTTCTCTGCAGATCCTCTCAAGCACTGTCAGGTTGGAGTACGGCTGTAACGTAACAAAATGTGGAAAATGTCAAGGGGTCTAAATACTTTCCAAATGCGCTGTATATTGACATGATCCCATTTAAAGGTGATTGTAGAGAGGTTTGTTGCCTTCATATTGGACTTCAATCAAACCCACCATAGCAATGTTTATGCAGTGTCTTTGTTTACAAACTTCACCCTGCACTTCAGAGTATGATTGAATAGATAGAATTGAGCTCTTAAAAGCATTTTGAATAAACTCATGCTGTGATTGGGTTCTGTGACAAGCCTGACACATTTCAACATTTCATTTCATTTGTTCACTCCTTTGAAGCAAGAAACATGAGTGGAGAAGCCAGATTACTCTGGAAAAACCAAGCAGGGATGATGAAAATGATGATGTCTCAGTGACTGCAGGTGCGTCACTGTCTATAATCGCCTCTGCACGGGTATAAACAGGCACGCAGTGCCACACATATGTATAAACGCAGGTATAGACACACGCCAACTGGTAGTGCACACAAAACACACACATGGCATATATGATATATTATTTTCACACAGGAATGTGCATGCGCACACACAAGCGCATGAATACATACACACACACACACACACACACACACACATACTCCTTTACTTATACTTACACATAATCCCCAACTTGCCCCTACACTCCCTGTCTGTCCACCCCTGCAAAGACATATGCAGCTCTCCACAAAGACACCTCACACTGTGACACAGATCTAGAGACAGAAATCCTACACTATTCATGCTCTCAGAGAGGTAATTCTGTTTCTGTTTGATAGAAAGAGAAGAAGAGGGGGGATGGAAAAGAAAAGAGTGTAACTCTAATAATTCTTACAGAACAGGGCCTCTGGCAAATCCAATTGTGGCTAGTTGCACATTAAGCCCCGTCACTCAGTAGCAGCACTACACTGGCTGCCCTTGGAACAGAGAGAGGAATGTTGATGAGACTACTGGTGGTGGTGGAGGGGGAGTTTCTATTTTAGGAGCAAGAGATGAAGAGTGCAAACTCACGTTCGCATGTATGGACAAACACGTACACACACGAAAACAAATGTGCGCACACGCATACACAGGCAAGGGATGAAGCATGCATAAATGCAAGTAGACACACATCTCCGACCCATCATCCACGTCCCCGCACCAGGCACTGTACCGCAGCCAATCAAACATTGGGAACAAGATTACGCCGCACTGAGAACACTACTGTGTGCCAAATCCAACACATATGTGGACACACATTACAAACACACAGATACATGACACACACCCACCCAAAAGCAACGACGAGTCAATGTTTGATTAGGTTTTTACCTTTCAAATCGAAACACAGTCAAAAAGCATTAACAAGTCTATTTACTTTAGAGCTGGACTTTAGCTAATTATCTTAATAACTACACAAGTAATTATCCTTCACTTCAAAGGCTCCGTCTGCGTCCCAAATAGCACTCTATCCCTTACATAGTGCACTATATAAGGAATAGGGTGCCATTTGGGACACAGCCTCTCTCCCTCTCTCTCTCTCTCCATGAAGCCAGGTCCCACAGCTTCCTGTGCAGAATGAAGCACGACATTCACAGGTAATTGGCTGATCACCATGCTGCTGCTGTGTTTGATGAAAGGACATGTGAGAAGAGCCCCTACAGGTTGGGTACTAAACACACACTTGCACATAAGCATTAACACTATCACACACACACGGAAATGCACACACTCTCACACACACACACACACACACCCACTTCCGCACGCTTGTAATTTGAGAGATAAGGGGGATGCTACACATAGGCATTAACACCTTGGACCACTGAATGACTGTTAATAAAGGTGCTATAGACCTATATATGTCTATCTGGGCAGAGCCCTGCAGAAAGCGAGTAAAATCGCATCAGACTCTTCCCATCCAGTTCACCCCGAATTCCATCCTCTCTGGCCGCAGGTACAGGCAGCCAAAAGTAAAAACCAACAGAGGCAGAAATTGTTTCATTCCAAGTGCAATACCTCAGATGTACAAGATGTTGGACTAATATACACTTTAAGCAGTAAGCACTTTGACATGCAAATATAGGCCCAGCTTACTCAGACATTTTTAGACCTTTGCACTATCCTGCCGACTTATTTGTAAATATTCTGTAATATTTGTTTATTTTTGCTGTTGTTGTGTTTTACATTTTAATATGTGATCTTGTCTATATGTACTTTGACTGCTGCAAAATGAACTGACTCGAGGACATTAACGTTTTTTCTGAACAACATGAAGTTTGCCAGAGCAACATCCAAGCCGTTACACCAGAGGCCCAAACCTCTCAATGAGGTATCTACTGTTCAGATACATACTATGGCTCGCTACAATATGACAAAAAGAGAGAGTCATGGAATAATGCCCCCATTGGATCAATGGAGGCACCATGATCTGTTATTATTCAAGCCAGTTTACTCCTTTCATCCCATGACATTTGTAGAATAATATTAATCACAGTTGAATTTATTTACTTACCTGCCAATAATTCTCAGCTGTTCTCTGACATTCAGAGAAAGAGGTAGCATTCCAAATGGCACCCTATTCCCTATATAGTGCACTACTACTCTATGGGCCCGGTCAAAAGTAGCGCACTATAAAAGGAATAGGGTTCCATTTGGAACACAATCAGAGACAGACTATAGTAATCAGGTCATCAAGTAAAGTTATTAAATATTTATTAGCTAGCTACTAGCAGCAGCCAGTTCCAACATGCATGGCCGCATAGAAATGTAATGTATGACCGAATTAAATTATAAAACTTGCATTTATATTCTTTTGAAGTTGTTTGTTTGGCTTACCTTGGAAACACTCAAATTATATTTCCCCTCTGTGGTATGTTTAAGCACGGTGCATAAATATTTATATTAATCTACCTAGGGCCCCTATGTGGCCTAGCTAGTGTTTTCACCATAGCCACTGGAGAACGGGCCTATTGGGTGGAGAAGGAGGAATATATTGGGGGGATAATGTTGAATATTTGCCAGAGTTTCTCAGGACTGTTTGTGTGTTAATGTTTATGCAAGAGATGCGGTTTTTAAATATACATTCATTTAAATGTGCTACAATGCCCCCCACCTCATACCGTTTTCTTCTTGTCACAAATGTTCCTGAGGAGAGATTCCTCTCATCAATTTGAGTGTTGTTCGGCTGCAGAATTTTGACATAAATCAAAAAGTGTGTGTGTGTGTGTGCTTCATATGCGTGCATAACACCACCGACATTTCCTATTCCTCCCTAACCCAGGTTGGTGACAAATCTGTGTGTTGGTGAGATTATGCATTCATCCCCTCCCATCCTCTTCTTCTCTAGTTGTCACTATGGTCTCACCTGCTGGCTGCCTCCATGCCATCCTATCAACGTATCAGGCAGGGTGATGTCACGCACGCCGAGCCCCAGGCCCTGCCATGCTCGGCAGCATGCGGTAAGGTGTGTGTGTGTGAGAGAGAGAGAGTGCTTCTCTTTGTGTGTGTGTGCATGCATGCTGCGCCACATGCCACTAGGCTAATTAGAGGGCTCTTAACTCTGTCAAAGTCATTTGATGACACTGATGTGGGAGATTGATATTCACGCTTGACTCACCCGTCTTCTCTCTCTCCACCTGAGTGCTTGCTGTTGTGTTGTTTACTTCCCTACACAATTAGCATCTGATTGTTGATGGTTGGGGACTGAGTGAAGAGGTCTCACTGTGCAACCTGATGATTAGGAGGTTGGAGGAATATGCCTCTGTCCTCAATGTCTCCGGCAACTTATATTTCATATTGCATAAAAATACCATAAAACCCGCCATAAAACTATAGGTTAATACTGTGCTCTTTCACTCTGTGGTAAAAAATCTATATTTTCTCTGAACATGTTGTCCTCAGTTGGTAGAGCATGGCGCTTGTAACGCCAGAGTAGTGGGTTCGATTCCCGGGACCACCCATAAGTAAAATGTATGCACGCATAACTATATGTCGCTTTGGATAAAAGCATCTGCTAAATGGCATATTATATTATGTGAAATCCATGCACACTATTGCAGTGTCTTAATTAAAATATACATATCATAAAGCTATATTATGGTTTCTATTATATACCCTATGACTACACCTGGATTCATCTGTGTAGTATGATCTGAGAGTAGAGTAAGCCTCAGTCTGCATTCTAAATGGCACCCTATACCCTACGTCGTCCTGTTGTATCATGTACAAGTGACAAATAAACTTTGATTTGATGTAGGGAATAGGGTGCCATCTGGGACGAAACCTCAGTTATAGTGGTATTTTTATTTATTTATTTGCACCAAAGAAAACAAGTGATAAAAAAAATATTCTATCATTAATAATAAAATATTTCCAATGGGTGGGTATACCATCTGTTGACTGTCTGCTATTTGTACAAGCTGCACGTTAAACAAGCCGATTCTCCAGCACACCTAACATAGTTGATTGAGGGATCTGTCTTTTGCCAGGGATCATGCCTTCTCATTTTTTATGGAGCCACAGCGCCCCTATGTGAACAGTCTTAGAATGACATCCTATATGAATCAAGCGAGAGACCCTTGGAAATGCACAATATCACATGCCTCCACAAATCCAATGCTTTTAGATTTGTGGTAAGTAGTGAACGAGTGCACATTTGAGGAGAAAGGAAATATTATTGAGATGAACCGTCTGTTTGAATGAGCATCCTGCCTCCCTTCTTCCTTGAAGTTATCGCTGATCTCAAAATAATTGGATCTGTGAAAGCTAGTATAGCCATTGCCTGCACCTCCTATATGTACTCACCTGCATGCACTCACCTGACAAAGACTTCTTTGAAGTCGAAACAATGTTGATTTGGGTGCAGGAATAAAGCGCTGGGGAGCGGTACTATTCCGCATGCGGGCCGCTCATTCCTTTTACTCCACCTACTGTATTAGATTGTGCAGGATCCGTTATTCCCTCAATGAATTTAAAAAGGAGGGAATTTTAACAGTATTCAAACAAGGCATTACTGTCCGATTCTAACCTTGCATAATAGTCAGGTAAGCAAGCATCGTCTGGTCATCTGGGGTTGACAGGACAGAAAGTGGGTCTTCCAAAGCTGCCTGTCCTCCATTGCAGACGCAATATCATCCTTCTTCAGTCTGGTGTCGCTCCTGAGCTGGTCCATATGTGATCTCTGGCCGTCAATACTGCTGAAAGTGACTAAAATGTTTTAAAAAATGACAAATGGGGAAAAAAAGTATTTAGTCAGCCACCAATTGTGTAAGTTCTCCCACTTAAAAAGATGAGAGAGGCCTGTAATTTTCATCATAGGTACACGTCAACTATGACAGACAAAATTAGAAAAATAAATCCAGAAAATCACATTGTAGGATTTTTAATGAATTTATTTGCAAATTATGCTGGAAAATAAGTATTTGGTCACCTACAAACAAGCAAGATTTCTGGCTCTCACAGACCTGTAACTTCTTCTTTAAGAGGCTCCTCTGTCCTCCACTCGTTACCTGTATTAATGGCACCTGTTTGAACTTGTTATCAGTATAAAAGACACCTGTCCACAACCTCAAACAGTCACACTCCAAACTCCACTATGGCCAAGACCAAAGAGCTGTCAAAGGACACCAGAAACAAAATTGTAGACCTGCACCAGGCTGGGAAGACTGCATCTGCAATAGGTAAGCAGCTTGGTTTGAAGAAATCAACTGTGGGAGCAATTATTAGGAAATGGAAGACATACAAGACCACTGATAATCTCCCTCGATCTGGGGCTCCACGCAAGATCTCACCCCATGGGGTCAAAATGATCACAAGAACGGTGAGCAAAAATCCCAGAACCACACGGGGGGACCTAGTGAATGACCTGCAGAGAGCTGGGACCAAAGTAACAAAGCCTACCATCAGTAACACACTACGCCGCCAGGGACTCAAATCCTGCAGTGCCAGACGTGTCCCCCTGCTTAAGCCAGTACATGTCCAGGCCCGTCTGAAGTTTGCTAGAGTGCATTTGGATGATCCAGAAGAGGATTGGGAGAATGTCATATGGTCAGATGAAACCAAAATAGAACTTTTTGGTAAAAACTCAACTCGTCGTATTTGGAGGACAAAGAATGCTGAGTTGCATCCATAGAACACCATACCTACTGTGAAGCATGGGGGTGGAAACATCATGCTTTGGGGCTGTTTTTCTGCAAAGGGACCAGGACGACTGATCCGTGTAAAGGAAAGAATGAATGGGGCCATGTATCGTGAGATTTTGAGTGAAAACCTCCTTCCATCAGCAAGGGCATTGAAGATGAAACGTGGCTGGGTCTTTCAGCATGACAATGATCCCAAACACACCGCCCGGGCAACGAAGGAGTGGCTTCGTAAGAAGCATTTCAAGGTCCTGGAGTGGCCTAGCCAGTCTACAGATCTCAACCCCATAGAAAATCTTTGGAGGGATTTGAAAGTCCGTGTTGCCCAGCGACAGCCCCAAAACATCACTGCTCTAGAGGAGATCTGCATGGAGGAATGGGCCAAAATACCAGCAACAGTGTGTGAAAACCTTGTGAAGACTTACAGAAAACGTTTGACCTGTGTCATTGCCAACAAAGGGTATATAACAAAGTATTGAGAAACTTTTGTTATTGACCAAATACTTATTTTCCACCATAATTTGCAAATAAATTCATTAAAAATCCTACAATGTGATTTTCTGGATTTTTTTTCCTCATTTTGTCTGTCATAGTTGACGTGTACCTATGATGAAAATTACAGTCCTCTCTCATCTTTTTAAGTGGGAGAACTTGCACAATTGGTGGCTGACTAAATACTTTTTTTCCCCACTGTAAAATGAAAGAGGCATGTCATCAGTAACGTGTACAGTACTGTTGAAAGATAGATTGTATCATAATAAATTATGACATTGCTCATATTGATTTTATATCATTGTCTTTTTTTTATCTGTGTCTTGATAAAAAGGAAGGAAACAGTCCCAGCAATAGACCTGATAAAAAAAAAGAAATCTACTAAGTATAAAAGGAAGTATCCAAAACGACCAAATGCTACCCAGAAAAATAACATAAAAAAGAATGTTGTGAAGTCTAAACCGTCAAAATTACCCAGAAGTAACTAAGAAAAAACGCAACCCAAGGATTCACCACAAAATGAGCCAATAACCACTATATACTCTTACACGATTCTCCAAATATAAAGTAATGCAAATATTTTACAATAAATAACAACAGGCACATCTTCCTATGTCTACAATAAAGGTCCTAGACGTAAGTAACAGTCAAATCCATGATGTAAAAAATACATTTGTAACAAATCAAAGTATAAAATAATCTGGGCAGCAAGTTTTTTGGTTTCTTGAGAACGCCGCACTTTCGGTTTCCATAACAACAAAATACTTCCCAACATGTGAGCATCTGAAGTATAGAGATATATATATATTCAATCATATAAATATGTACGAACAAAAATATAGTAAAACTATCGTTTAAAAAAATGCGATTACAAAAGGACTAATGCCAAAGAGAAGCTTATATTTTATAAACTCCAATAACTTAAAAAATTAAATATTTTTTAAAGGAAATACTTTCGGAAAAAAAAGTTTGTTTTAGCCCCATTATTTTACACTGCTAAGGCTTTTTACACTGGTCTTATTTTCACAGCACTTGGAAATACCACACCGTAGTGCTTACATAATTCACCAAATATTATAAATACCAATAAGAAAATCCATGGTACAGTACCAATTTCTTTCAATCTACAAAATAACTTAGTGTGTCAGACAAATATTGCCGTTATTTACAGAGTTAATTTAAATACATAGTAGGTAGTTTTAGGTGGAAATAAATGGCGTATGGTGAGATGAGTGAGGTGAGAAAGAAGCAGCCATCTTGGCAGTGGCATGGTCATAGGGCATAGGGAAGGAGGATCATGGCAGCAGTCTTGCAGCACAGGCATGGGTTCATGTTCATTATGGAACACAACAGGAAACATATCAAAATGTTTTGGAACAGAAAACGGAAATGAGCGTTTCTTATTGGGCAAGTCCATGTAACCCTCCCGGTTTCAATTCGTGTTCTTCCATTTGGTGACTCATGAACACGACCATGGAGAAAGGTAGATAGGAGGTTAACTCGGGCACATTCATTAAAGCAGCAGCCGTCAGACCAGCGGGCGGGGGCTGACGAGGAAGGGGGTACCATACCAAGCCAGGGGGGTAGCCAGGCACCTGGTAAACACAGCCAGCATAGACCTCTGGAAAGACTGACGAAGAGGAGAAGGAAGGAGCGTAGGCCAGGCTCAGGTCCGGGACAAGGCCATTAGCAGTAATTCAGGGTTGTGTGTGTGTGTGTGTATGTGTGTGTGTAAGTAATGGAGAGTAAGTGCGTGTGTGTGTGTGTGTGTGTTAGTCCACATCGCTCATGTCACTGACAGGTTCGTCCTGGACGATGCTAAGGTGGTTCATGGCACGTTTGAAGGCCGTCTGAACAGCCTTACGGATGCTGGACGTTCTGCCCTCCATCATCTTGATCTTGTCGATGGTCTTCTCTATCCCCAGAGGGACCATCTTAGACTTAGGAAGCCATTGCCTGAGAAGAGAGAAGAATTAAATCAAATTCACAGCTACATTTCTTCTGATACAAATCTGCAAACATTTAAAACTTCTAATACAAATTTGAGTTCTCTGTGTTGTCTGTTGGTTGTCTATGAAAATTCACAGCATGTATTGAAATAACACTTTTAATATTGCAAATGTTGCTAGCAAGAACATCAAAAAGTCCCTTTCATAGCATTTAGTAATGGAGAAGAACAGAGAAGATATGTCTCACCAGCTGCGTTTGTTGTCGAAGAATAGGACGAGGAAGAGTTTTTCTTCGTTCTTGTACTGCATCCGTTCTCCGACCCGGAGGACGTCGAGGGGGGGCATGGGGATAGACACCCCATTGTGCTGGCACCCCACCCGGGGCATGTGGGGGTCGACGATCTAACGTGGTGGGAGAGGTGTACCAGGGTTACTAGGGGGTGGTGTCTGTGGTGTTATGACACAGTATACTTGCATACACACAGACGTGCACTGCACACACATGCGCAAACACACACAGCTGGTGCTTGTGATGAAAAGAGGTGCATCCACTTAGTCCTCTCAAACTAAAGATCAAACCAGACCTGTATTTGACAATGGTGCCATCTAGAGGACTTGGAAGATATGGACCTAGGTTTTAAATGAAAAGCAAAGACAAAACAACATTGTAGGGTTTGTGGGTGTGTTACCGCTCAAACAGCTAGTGTGTGTGTGTGAACGTCACTCAATCAATATACGATGAAAGGGATAGCAACCAGGGCCTAAAATTAACACCCACCAAATTCGGGTAGATTTTGGCATTGGCGTGTAAGAATTTCTAATTCACCAACCACATTGGTCAAAAGTCAAATATGGGCACATGTGCGAGTAGTGATTTATAGCAAAATAAATGCTGCAGTAGCTGTTTTCAAAGTATTTCTGCCGTTTTGTATCATATCTGGTAATGCACAAAGAAATAGGAATCCTAACGTTTTAGCTATCTCACGAAGCAACACTGCCTGGCTGAAGAACTGTGTGCACTGCGAGTGAAGAGCTGAAAAATGACATTTACATTGTTTTGTTCACAAATTAGGCTGTTTTTCAATGTGTGAGTTTGCTTCCACTGCTAACAAAAGGGACGTAGTCAGCCTCTACTAGTCAGATTCTCACAGGCACACTAGAATAGATTCCTCGACGGAATCGACTCCTAAGATTCAGTATTTTGCAGTAGTGTACTTCCGAGAACAAACTCTCGCATCTATCACAGCAAAGAAAGAGCGAGCTAACGAAGGAGGGAGAGAGAGAGGGGAGGGGCACAGCCAGGCATGTCGGCCAGCAGGCAGAACCGTGCATCGGTAATCAAAAGATGTATAGGCTATCGCAATGCTGTGTCTTACAATTTCTTGGCTTGCAAGACGGAGTTATTCTACACGAAACAGACTGAAGATCAAACACACGCTAACGTTTTTCATAGTGAAGAGAAAGAGCAGGCGAGCTAGCGAGGGAGAGAGTGGCCGGTGTAGGCAGACAGTCGGAACCATGCGCATATGCTATATCTTGGTAATCTGTATATCGCAATGTCTTGTCTTGCAATGCCTTGTAAATTCACCAAAAAGTACATTAAAGTATATAATTAGGCTATCATTGACTATGACTAAGCTATTCTTCATAGTGCCTGTGAATTGAAGTTGAACATTACCAAATGCATCAATTTAATTAGGCCTAAATGTGCAATAAAAAGTATTGTGCCTATAGCTTATTTAATGAAACCGTGGCTGGCTGTTCCTTGAGAGCTAACTTCCTGTAGGTTTTCGCTCCAACCCCAGTTGTAACTAACCTGATTCAGTTTATCAACCAGCTAATTATCGAATCAGATGCGATAGATTAGGGTTGGAGTGAACACCTACAGGACAGTACCTCTCCAGGAACAGGGTTGGAGAGCCCTGTCCTAGGCAATAGATCGCAAAGCAAGGCATCCCCACTAAACCTGGAAAAGGCAAATTCACTTTCTCATCCATAAATGCATCTCAAGTGCAAATACGATTCAGCAGCTCAAATCAACATGATGGGGGCATTGTTATTAGGAAGGCCGCGTACAAAGGATCACTAAAATAATGATTATGATCACACTTAAATCAATTTAAATATCATGAGGACACCTACAGTGCCTTCAGAAAGTATTCATACCCCTTGACTTATTCCACATTGTTGTGTTACAGCCTGAATTCAAAATGGATTTAAAAAACATTCTGACAAAGTGAAAATGTTTTTAGAAATGTTTGCAAATGTATTGAAAATGAAATACATTAATCTCATTTAGTAAATACTTCGTAGAAGCACCTTTGGCAGCGATTACAGCTGAGTCTTTCTGGGTAAGTCTCGAAGAGCTTTCCACACCTGGATTGTACAACATTTGCCCATTATTTTAAAAACATTCTTCAAGCTCTGTCAAATTGGTTGCTGATCATTGCTAGACAACCATTTTCAGGTCTTTCCATAGATTTTCAAGTAGATTTAAGTCAAAACTGTAACTCGGCCACTCTGGAACATTCACGGTCTTCTTGGTAAGAAGCTCCTGTGTAGATTTGGCCTTGTGTTTTAGGCTATTGTCCAGCTGAAAGGTGAATTCATCTCCCAGTGTCTGGTGGAAAGCAGACTGAACCAGGTTTTCCTCTAGGATTTTACCTGTGCTTAGCTCCATTCCATTAATTTTTTATACTGAAAGACTCCCCAGTCCTTAACGATTACAAGCATACTCATAACATGATGCAGCCACCACTATGCTTGAAAATATGGAGAGTGGTACTCAGTAATGTGTTCTATTAGATTTTGGCCCAAACATAACACTTTGTATTCAGGACAAAAAGTTAATTTCTTTGCCACATTCTTTGCAGTATTACTTTAGTGCCTTGTTGCCAACAGAATGTTTTAGAATAGTTTTATTCTGTACAGGCTTCCTCCCATCACTCTGTCATTAAGTCAATATTGTGGAGTAACTACAATGTTAATCCATCCTCCGTTTTCTCCTATCACAGCCATTAAACTCTTCAACATTTACATTTTAGTCATTTAGCAGACGCTCTTATCCAGAGCGACTTACAGTTAGTGAGTGCATACATTTTTCATACTTCAACTGTTTTAAAGTCACCATTGGCCTCATGTAGCTCAGTTGGTAAAGCATGGCGCTTGCAACGCCAGGGTTGTGGGTTCGTTTCCCATGGGGGGCCAGTATGAAAAAATGTATGCACTCACTAACTGTAAGTCGCTCTGGATAAGAGCGTCTGCTAAATTACTAAAATGTAAATGTAATGTTGAAATCCCTGAGCGGTTTCCTTCCTCTTCGGCAAATGAGTTAGGAAGGACGCTTGTATCTTTGTAGTGACTGGGTGTATTGATACACCATCCAAAGTGTAATGAATAATTTCACCATGCTCAAAGGGATATTCAATGTCTGCTTTTTATTTGTACCCATCTACCAATAAGTGCCCTTTTTTGCGAGGCATTGGAACACCTCCCTGGTCTTTGTGGTTGAATCTGTGTTTACAATTCACTGCACGACTGCGGGCCCTTACAGATAATTGTATGTGTGGGGTACAGAGATGAGGTAGTCATTAAAAAATCATGTTAAACACTCTTATTGCACACAAGAGTCCATGCAACTTATTATGTGAGTTGTTCAGCAAATGTTTACTACTGATCTTATTTAGGCTTGCCATAACAAAAGGGTTGAATACTTAGAGCTTTTCATTTTTATTAATTAGTAAACATTTTGAAAAACATAATTCCACTTTGACATTATGCGGTATTGTGTGTAGGCCAGTGACAAAAAAATCTCTACATCAAATTTTATTTGTCACATGTGCCGAATACAACAGGTGAAGACTTTACACTGAAATGCTTACTTACTTGCCTCGAAGCGAGCATAGAAGTAATTTAGGTTGTCTGGTAGGCTCGCAGCTGTGCTTCCCTTTGTAGTCTGTAATAGTTTGCAAGCGAGCGTCGGAGCCGGTGTAGTATGATTCGATCTTAGTATTAACGCTTTGCCTGTTTAATGGATCGTTGGAGGCATAGCAGGATTTCTTATAAGCTTCCGGGTTAGAGTCCCGCTCCTTGAAAGCAGCAGCTCTACCCTTTAGCTCAGTGCAGATGTTGCCTGTAATCCATGGCTTCTGGTTGGGGTATGTACGTACAGTCGTGGTCAAAAGTTGAGAATGACACAAATATTAATTTTCACAAAGTCTGCTGCCTCACTTTTTATGATAGCAATTAGCATATACTCAAGAATGTTATGAAGAGTGATCAGATTAATTGCAAAGTCCCTCTTTGCCATGAAAATGAACTTAATCCCCCCAAAAAACATTTCCACTGCATTTCAGCCCTGCCACAAAAGGACCAGCTGACATCATGTCAGTGATTCTCTCGTTAACACGGGTGAGAGTGTTGACGAGGACAAGGCTGGAGATCACTCTGTCATGCTGATTGAGTTAGAATAACAGACTGGAAGCTTTAAAAGGAGGGTGGTGCTTGAAATCATTGTTCTTCCTCTGTTAACCATGGTTACCTGCAAGTAAACACATGCCGTCATCATTGCTTTGCACAAAAAGGGCTTCACAGGCAAGGATATTGCTGCTAGTAAGATTGCACCTAAATCAACCATTTATCAGATCATCAAGATCATCAAGGAGAGAGGTTCAATTGTTGTAAAGAAGGCTTCAGGGCGCCCAAGAAAGTCCAGCAAGCGCCAGAACCGTCTCCTAAAGTTGCTTCAGCTGCGGGATCGGGGCACCACCAGTGCAGAACTTGCTCAGGAATGGCAGCAGGCAGGTGTGAGTGCATCTGCACGCACAGTGAGGCAAAGACTTTTGGAGGATGGCCTGGTGTCAAGAAGGGCAGCAAGGAAGCCACTTCTCTCCAGGAAAAACATCAGGGACAGACTGATATTCTGTAAAAGGTAAAGGGATTGGACTGCTGAGGACTGGGGTAAAGTCATTTTCTCTGATGAATCCCCTTTCCGATTGTTTGGGGCATCCGGAAAAAAGCTTGTCCGGAGAAGACAAGGTGAGCGCTACCATCAGTCATGTGTCATGCCAACAGTAAAGCATCCTGAGTCCATTCATGTGTGGGGTTGCTTCTCAGCCAAGGGAGTGGGCTCACTCACAATTTTGCCTAAGAACACAGCCAAGAATAAAGAATGGTACCAATACTTCCTCCAAGAGCAACTTCTCCCAACTATCCAAGAACAGTTTGGTGACAAACAATGCCTTTTCCAGCATGATGGAGCACCTTGACAGAAGGCAAAAGTGATAACTAAGTGGCTCGGGGAACAAAACATCTACATTTTGGGTCCATGGCCAGGAAACTCCCCAGACCTTAATCCCATTGTGAACTTGTGGTCAATCCTCAAGAGGCTGGTGGACAAACAAAAACCCACAAATTCTGATAAACTCCAAGCATTGATTATGCAAGAATGGGCTACCATCAGTCAGGATGTGGCCCAGAAGTTAATTGACAGCATGCCAGGGCGGATTGCAGAGGTCTTGAAAAAGAAGGGTCAACACTGCAAATATTGACTCTTTGCATAAACTTAATGTAATTGTCAATAAAAGCCTTTGACACTTATGGAATGCTTGTAATTATACTTCAGTATACCATAGTAACATCTGACAAAAATATCTAAAAACACTGAAACAGCAAACTTGTGAAAAAAACAATACTTGTGTCATTCTCAAAACTTTTGACCATGACCGTACGGTCACTTTGGGGATGACGTCATCAATGCACTTATTGATGAAGCCAGTGACTGATGTGGTGTACTCCAATGCCATCGGAAGAATCCCGGAACATATTCCAGTCTGTGCTAGCAAAACAGTCCTGTAGTTTAGCATCTGCTTCATCTGACCACTTTTGTATTGAGTGAGTCACTGGTGCTTCCTGCTTTAGTTTTTGTTTGTAAGCAGGAATCAGGAGGATATAATTATGGTCAGATTTGCCAAATGGAGGGCGAGGGAGAGCTTTGTATGTGTCTCTGTGTGTAGAGTAACGGTGGTCTAGAGTGTTTTTTCACTCTGGTTGCACATGTAACATGCTGGTAGAAATGAGGTAAAACGGATTTAAGTTTCCCTGCATTAAAGTCCCCGGCCACTAGGAGCGCCGCTTCTGGATGAGCATTTTCTTGTTTGCTTATGGCTGTATACAGCTCATTGAGTGCGGTCTTAGTGCCAGCATCGGTTTGTGGTGGTAAATAGCTACGAAGAATATAGATGAAAACTCTCTTGGTAGATAGTGTGGTCTACAGCTCATCATGAGATACTCTACCTCAGGTGAGCAAAACCTCAAGACTTCCTTAGATATCTTGCACCAACTGTTTTTTACAAATATACATAGACCGCCACCCCTTGTCTTACCAGAGGCTGCTGTTCTATCCTGCCGATAGTGTATAACCCGCCAGCTGTTTGTTATTCATGTCGTCGTTCAACCACGACTCGGTGAAACATAAGATATTACAGTTTTTAATGTCCCGTTGGTAGGATATATGTGCTTGTAGTTCGTCCACTTTATTATCAAGTCATTGTACTTTGGCCAATAGTACCGATGGCAAAGGCAGATGAGCCACTCGTCGCCGGCGCCTTACCAGGCACCCCGATCTCCTTCCGCAATATATCTCTGTCTCTTTCTACTGCGAATGACGGGAGCAAATCCCTCTCGTCTGGAGCAAATCCCTCTCGTCCGACTCATTAAAGAAAGATTATTCGTCCAGTTCAAGGTGAGAAATCGCTTTTCTGATGTCCAGAAGCTCTTTTCAGCAACATTATGTACAAAATAAGTTACAAACAATGCGAAAAAAAATATATATAGCACGGTTGGTTAAGGGCCTATAAAAACGGCAGCCATCCCCTCCGGCACCATCTCAAAAAAAAAAAAATACTTCTTTACACTAATTTTAAATTCAGGCTGTAACAACAAAATGTGGAAAAAGTCAAGGGGTGTGAATATTTTCTGAAGTCACTGTATACATTTGGCAGCCAATCATGAGTTATCAGTGTAGCCTATTATAGTCTAGACATGACGTTGAAATATCTTCTCACCTAGAATAAAAACCTCCAGGCCTCCGTCATGAGTCAATTACATTTGAAAAAAATTAAGAATTACAGGGGGCAGCTGGGAAACGTAATCCTGTGTGAATCGTCCTCTGTAATAACGCACATGCTTGGATAATAATTACATAACCAAGGTCTCTAGTAATACCCATCTGAATAGGGCTATAACATGGCAAAGAATGGGCTTATCAGCGTAGGATGCGCAGCATCATCACATGGGATCCGTCAAGGCTGCGCACAGCAGAAATATCACTGAAATATTCTAGTTCCTACACATCACCTTCTATATTCAAACAAAATAGCACTTTTATAGGCTAAGTTAACGAACAAATGGGCAGCATCATGTTCATGTCAGTCCTCTAGAACGCAAATGTAGTCTTCCTAGTAGGACGCTGCAATAATGAGGTGGTGTGTACGTGTGTGTGCATCTGTTTGGGAGTCCAGCAAGAGTCGACTCCTTCAACTCCAACCACAGAGGTCAGAGTCGACTCCTAAAATCCTGGAGTCGTGTACCACTAAAGGCATCCGCATGCTTCCCAGCCGAAATAGCTTGTGCATATATTATGACGACATTTTGTTACTTTTGTTCATTTTGGACTTCGGCAAGGGTTTTTTCGGCTGTTCGAGCACACAAAACATTTTCACAAGGCAAGCCGAAGTCAGTAGCCGAAGTCTACGCCCCCTCGTCTGTGATTGGTCAACAGTAGGGATTCTTCAATAAAGTGCCTGTTGTCATTCAACAAGAGACGACTTGTCCTCATGCACATTTTTTCACTTGAAAAATACTGCACCAAACATCCTAGTCAGATGCAAAATTGCACGACTAAGATCTCTGCCAAACTTCAAAATTAATGACAGATTTATTGACTAATCTTAGATTAATTCTGACTATTTTGAGGAAGCGTATACTGGCTACGGCGTCTCAAAATGGACAAACAGTACTATTGCTGCTTTTTTCTAGTTTTTCAAGTGAAGGTCTTTTAAGGGAGTATGCGAGCACACTCGTTCGGTTCGCCTAGCCGAGCATGCTGATGCCTTAGTGCACACGTGACGACTTGAGTGGCCCCGTTACCACGGTAAGCTTAAAAAGGGGCAGCTGAACAATTATCTCATCTGTGATATTTTGGTTAAAAGACTCAGGTCACAAAATATTAAATTGAGCAATATATCACATTACTTCTTATTACTAATACATTCCTTGATTTTGAAACATTGCTACGCATGCTCATCCATTTTGATTTGTGTTTTTTGGTGTAATTAATGCAACAACAAAAGAATGGTGGCTAAACAATCTGAGTGGCTGGTAGATCGTTTTTATCTACCTGCCACAGTGACTGGTAGACAAAAAAGTTAGTTGTAGGCCCTGGTAGCAAGCACTGAGAAGTGACAATGAGATAGTCAGGTGTCATACATATACGCTCACTGTCACTCACCAAGGCAGGATAGGAAGGGTATCCGCTACATTTTGCCCAAACTAGCTTTAGAGGTTCCAGAACAACTGTTGCAGCACTAGCAGGCATCCAAATATTGCTGTTGCCAACTTCTATGGAAGCAGGAATAACAACAATCAAGTTAGGAGGGGTTCACTGTAAATAGAGCAAAACACTTCCAGAGCCATGCTAATAGTGACAGCATCAACACACACAGGTTATATACATCACAACTCACCTAAAAACGTGATATTATAAAAATAATACAATTTGGACTGTAAATGAATATAATTGCTTTAATTGATGTTTATCTAGCGTGCATCGTAGTATACTACTCAGGAAAACTCTGGGCTCTGGTTAAATCCTAAAGCTAGGGCCAGGAGTTTTGGGGCACATTTTGAGGTACTGTGCTTTTTCCCGGTACTTCCAGCATTGTCCACTAGTGTTGCTGCAGGTAGGAAATCCTAGGAAATGTTCTGTAATTGACACAAGCTGTCTCCAATCAATCAATGTCTGGTTGTGCGTGTGTTTGGCAGGGGGGATTGCCTAAGCCAGGGGAGGAATAGCTCTGCGAAACTTAAAATCGCACAAAACCTATTATTATTTGCAGTGAATACTATTTGTAGATCAGTGATTTTACACCTCACTTTGCTCAAGCTGATCCTCTCCAACAGACTTGGAAGTTGTAGCAAAAAATGTGTCAATTAGGGGCAGTAAAAGGGGAGAGTCATTGAAACCAACCAAGTATATTGTAGAAAATTCGGGGGGTAGCCCCGTCCGGGACTCAAACCTGGATCCAGCGACTGTCAATGGCTTCCCGTGGCTTTGGTGATCCCCCACCAAACACACACGCACAACAAGACATTGATTGATTGGAGACAGTTTGTGTCAATTAAATAACATTTCCTAGGATTTTCTACCTGCAGCAAACCTAGTGGATCATGCTGGAAATACCGGTAAAGGAACAGTGCCTCAAAAGCTGCCCCAAAACTCCTGGCCCTATAGCAATACATCTACTCCTCTGACTCTCAGCCGACCTCATCTGATACAATACATACAAACACATTTCCCTCCGCAATCTCCACTTTCCTGTATGATTAAAATCAAGACAGACAACTTACCGGCAGCAATCCTAGCAGCTCTGGCAAAGTTCCCGGTTTCTATAGAGGCAATGAGCTCGTTCTTATCATCCACAGTGTTTCTTCGGACCAGGGCCGGTTTGCCCTTACCACATGTTGGAAGACTGAGGGTGCTGCTGAAATCAGGAAAAGACATCCACACTGTATGTGAGTCAGACTGCCTTCTACATGACACACTACAGATAAATTACCAGACTACATAGTTGAACTACCAAGTACCACCAACCATGTTCAGCAGTGAAAAGTGCAGCAGCTAGAGACGCCAAGCCTATGTTGCTTTGAGCGTTTGATTGAGCCTGCCTGTGTTTCCACAATTGGGACTACTCTAGTGGTTCCATTGTGCCAGGCGGGCTCAATCAAGCTCAGTTTAAGTAATTGAAAGACAACTAATTATATTTGAACCCAGGTCTGCTGTGAGGTATATGCATGTACCTACCTGGTGCTGCCCAGCAGACTACCACTAGATGAGATGCTGGACTCTGAGGCACACCGTCTCCTGGTTTCTAGAGGCCTGCTGGCACCTAGCTCCTTCTCTTCATCAATTACCTCCTCCATCACAAAACCATTAGACAGGCCTGAGGCCAGAAACACAGAGCAGTACAGTAAGTATACTATACATAAACCAACTATAGCATAGACCTACAACATTTTGACCTTTTTTCTTAAAGCGTCTCAGAGTAGGGGTGCTGATCTAGGATCAGTTTAGCAATTTAGATTATAATTAATAAGATTACATGGACAAGGGGAACCTGATCTCTTAATTCACAAGTCTGTGAAGATCATGTTCTACTTATTCATGCTCTATTAAAGAGTCCCATTAAGATAAGTACTTTATTTTCTGACAAGTGAAAAGAACCCTATTTACCTGTGTCAATGCGTTTGACAGGGGACTCGTCTTCCCCGTCTCCGCCCCCCTCGCTGTCCCCCCCGCTGGGACTGTGGCTCCTCTTCCTGGTCCTGGGGTGGAGGAGGGTCTCCAGTCTGGGGATCATCACCGACAGGAAGGCCTTGGTGCCCAGCTGAGGGCACCCTGTCTGGGCCTCGCCGCCTCCTCTGCACCCCTGGTTCTTCCCAGGGCTAGAGTTCTTGGACTTCCTGAAGAGCACGGCAGTGCGGCGGTTGACAGTCATCCCCGAGGGTTGGGCCAGGGTGGAGGTGGCCACCACACTCACGTTCCCCTCTGAGAGAAGCAGGGGGTTCTGGGAGTCGGAGTGGCCATTGAGAAGGGTCTTGGGGGTGGTGGAGGAAGCACTGTTGGGTTTCTCCTGGTCAAATTTGACCTGTCCGTGGGTCTTGCTGTCCAGGGTGGGGTTGGGGTGGATGGGTTTGAGGGTAGGGGGTTCTGAGTTGCTCTCAAAGTGCAGGAGAGGAGGTAGGGAGTCAGAGGGTTCCAATTTGGGAGGTAATGATTTGTCCCCTGTTGAAGAATAGGAGAGAATACAGTGAGAAAACACATAGAAAGCATAACATTATATAGATCACAATGTAATATGAAAATAAGTATTGTACATCTTGAATAAAGATGACCAGAACCATTCCTAAAGCACATCATCCTCAGGGTGAAGACTTATTCCTTGCAGAATTACAAGACTTCAATACAAATTATCTTGCCTTCTAGAATGCATAGCTAAATAACCAATGAGACAGCAAAATATTTAAATCACAGCACGCAAAGTATTTTGCATTCTAGAAGTGTAGGTCAGTGTAGGTTTACTGTGAATCAATTCAGGCTCTTAGCATATCAACTCCACTGTACCATGACCATGTTAAAGAGAAAGCCATGCTACCATGCAGATATACTGTATCACTACAATAGTATCCCACTTCAGCAGGCACACTCATTAACCAGGCAAAGGGATGTCCAGAGGCAAGGGATATCATTGACATTTACATTTTAGTCATTTAGCAGACGCTCTTATCCAGAGCGACTTACAGTTATTGAGTTCATACTTTTTTTAATTTATTTTTTCATACTGGTCCCCTGTGGGAAACGAACCCAAAACCCTGGCATTGCAAACGCGATGCTCTACCAACTGAGCTACACGGGACACATATCATATCATGTGACCTAGCATTAACACCAGACTATGTGGTAGCAGGTTAGCATGGCTAAGCACACTATATGGTATGATGGCGTGACTTACTTGGGGTTAGAGGTTACAGTTAAATCCTGATCTAGCTTGAGTTTAAATCTAGTTTCCACCAATAAAACAAAGGACTGAGAAGCACATGACAGCCTGACACCAGGTCACTGGGGATATCTGAGTGCTTGGCCAAAGTCAGGTCCTCCCTCTCCCGTCCTGACGCTGAAACCCTCATAAATACATACATTAAATCTCCTCCAGTGTTGACTACTGCAACTCAACTACTCTCCGGCATCAACGCAAGCTCCTTCCATAAACTCCAAATGGTTCAAAACACAGCACGACTTCTCACCCACACTAAGCCCTGGCAGCACATCACCCATGTCCTCCATGAACTCCACTGGCTCCCTGTCTCCCAACAAATGAATTACAAGACCCTTCTTCTGACCTACAAAGCCCTTCACCACTCAGCCCCCTCTTACCTCTCAGACCTTCTTCTCCCCTACCAAACCACACGCGCAATCCGTTACACCACAGCAGGCCACCTTGCCATCCCAGGTGAAAACTCCAGAGCTTCAGCGACAAAGCCTGCTCCAGGGTTGCTCCTAGGCTCTGGAACTCCCTCCAGCCATCCGTGACTCTGAGTCCATCACCATCTCTCAGTCCCTGCTAAAGCCCCACCTCTTTGACAGGGCCTACCCCTCTCCTTTATGGCAAATATTTCTATAATAAACCATTATGTCGAAGTAAACTTGGAGTCACGCGATGATATGCTACGTTGTCCTACCACTACGATGTGGAAAAGCATAGGCAGATGCTGGATGCTGATGAGCTTGATGCAAATTTCCAACAAATATTGAGGGTTTTATTTGAATGCTGGTGACATGATGATCGATGTTTGGCTACCAATTATCAAATAAAAATGATATTGCTCTTATCCATAGCTCATTATATAACCTAACCTGTACACTATCAGTGAACTGTTGTTTAGAGAGCATGCACCAAAACCATCAGTCGATTTTAAAATGCGATAGAAACACATTGAACTTTCGATTTCTATTCGGTACATGAAAAGTGCCTGTTATGTGCACTACATCAGCACACACATTTATTTCCCCCCACAACAAGTCAGTTTGATGGAAACACACTGGTGGAAAATTTGAATATTTTCTTTCTGCAGATTTTTGAATATTCGCATTGAAAATCTGTCACAAATTGGATGGAAACCTAGCTACTGTCTGACTTGGTCATGCTGAAGAGAGAGCCACCCTGCCGGAAGCCATAGATATCACTACAGAGGCTCCAAGTAATCCAGAGCAGTGCTGCCAGGGTCCTGACCAGGACCAAGAAGTCAGACCAAATCACCCCGATTCTGGCCCAACTCCACTGGCTGCCGGTTAACTACAGGATCAACTTCAAAATCGTCATGCTTGTATTTAAAGCCTTGAATGGATTGAGTCCCACCTACATCAACGACCTCATCTCCATCAGCAAGCCACCTCGGACTCTCCGCTCAAGCCACTCCCTACAACTTAAAAGTCCCCAAGAAACGTCTCCGAACTATGGGGGACCGAGCCTTCTGCTCCCTTGCCTCTATGGAATGCTCTCCCTGACTGATAGATTAATTTGTATTTTAAGAATAATGACTAAAGGATTTCACCCCAAATACAGTATAAATGTGTGAACGGTGTTAGAGTTATAATGTAGTGTCAACCCACTAACAGAGGGGGAGGAGTTAGAAACTGCTGAGAAAGCATTCCAGGGTGAAGGGGACTGAGGAGCTGTTTAAAGGTGGGCGGAGCAAAGTGCCTTTGTGTGTCAGGGGGTATAAAGGCTGTGTATGAATTTTTTGGCGCCAGAGCTCTCCATGATTAAAAATACAGATCATTCTTGCTAGTTGTGGACCTTGAATCATTTATGATTAAAACCAGAGCCTTACAACCCCTGGTAATGATTCAAGCTTAGGTTGAATTAGAGATAGAAATTCTCATGACAAGTGGTCCTTCGAGCGGAGCTCAAAATACGTCTTTGTCGTTCTAAGGACACCGAAACCGTGCACGGGCGGATGATAGCATCCGTATAGAATAGACCTGGCCTTCGACGTTAAGGTTATAAACAGGCTGGTGATGAATCTTATGAACGATAAAGACGTTAACGAGATCTGAAAAGCATTTAAATCCCAACTGCTGCAAGGAGAAGGTCAGTAATTTTTATTCATGGATTTAGGTGAGATTATTTGAACTTGTATGAGAATAATAATTATTGTGAAGGGCAGAGAATAGTTACCAAAATCTCATAAGAGAATTATAAAGGAAGGAAGGGGGGTCCGAAATTGACCCTAGGTGAATAGCTATTACCAAAATAAACTAGTTAATATTGAGATTGTACGAGATACAGTCTTTACAATATAAACAGGAAGGGGGATAATTATCGTCGTGTGAGATAGATACATTAAACAAGTCGAGAGTCATAAACAGCTGGGGATTTGCTCTAACTCTGTCTATTTCATAAAACTGGAGCAGTTACGACCTCTAGGTTACGGATAGTGTTAGCAAAAAATCGTATAAGGTTGTATAAATGTGAGACCTAATGATCCATCGAAATACGTCATAATTGTTTCAAGGAAGGGACTAAAATAAGTCGCGTGAGAAAAAAATGGTTGTCCCATCCGTTTAAAACTGGGGTCTTAAAAAACTCTGGGTTACGGATTGAATAATTTAAAATGGTTGATTACAAAAGCAGATCATAACATTTTTCAAAAGTCCCACTATTAATAAGTCCCAAAGGAAATAATTATTGATTGAATTATTACTAAAGGGGGGGGGATTTCTTATTTTGCTACCATGGGGAATAAATATTCTAAAGAGGTCCGAGAATTAACGGGGGATGAAAGATATATGTTAGGGAGGGATCGAAGAAATATGTTTTATGGATCCATTTGGGAGAAGAGGTATGGATTTATTGGGCATCTCGATGTGGAGAAGTTAGAGGTTATGATTAGGCAGATGCATGTAAACTGTGGAACGGATTTTAAGAAACAGCGAGGGGAGGGGCTAGAGACAGCGAGAGTATGGCTTTTGGAAGCTCGAAGAAGAGAGGAAGGACAGAAAATAAAAAAAATAGTTATGCAGAGAGAAAATGAAGTAAAAATTGAGGTTTCAGTGCCTCCCCCAGAGCAGAGGGCAGAAAGGTTATATCCAGTTTTAGTAGAGCAGGCTTGGAAAGAAAGCCCAGATGATAACGTTGTCATGTGTAGGAGAAAATTAGGACTGGTCCCCGCCCCTCCCCCACCATATGACGGCCAAGCCGGAATGTTGAAAGAGGGGAAGGCTAATAAAGGTAAGAAAGAGCGGGAAGTTTTACAGAAAGAACTTACAGGAGCAATTAGGGTTGGGTGCCTTGCTCAAGGGCACATCGATAGGCAGGCTAAGAGAAGAACTGGATAGAGAGAAAGAGTTGAAAAAAGCTACAGAATTTAAAAACAGAGAGTTGAAGAGATTAGAGAGCTGTAATAAATTAGGGAGGCAGAATAGGGGAGGAGATAAGAGGAAGTGCTTTAACTGTAACAAAGAGGGACATTTGGCCAGGGAGTGTAAGGCCCCGTGTAAATACTGTAACAGAACAGGTCATAACCATCGCGACTGCAGGGATAAAGGAAAGGGCAGTGTATTTTTTGGTTCCACAGATAAAATGTTTGAAGAAATGATTTGTGTCGATTAAGAATTGGCTAAAAACACCACGAAGCGATTATTTGAGAGGTACCTATACATTTCTAACGATATATACGTATGAACTTTCTCACCCAAACGTAGACGTACGTCATGGGTGAGAAAGTAGAGAATATTTACATTTACAGTCATTTGGCGGACGCTCTGGTCCAGAGCGACTTATGGGAGCGATTGGGGTTGAGTGCCTTGCTCAGGGGCACATCGACAGATTTTTCGCCTGGTCGGCTCGGGGATTGGAACCGGCGACCTCTCGGTTACTGGCGTGGCGCTCTTAGTCACTAAGCTGCCTGCCGCCCCATATGAGTTTAAGGTTGTGCCGTTGTTTGATCATGTGATAAGGTTTAATGGGTAATCGGACCATAACTAATGTGGTTATAGAAGTAATGTATAAATAGTAGAGAGCAAATAGAGGGTTCCATTGAACTATTATGTTTTGTTGGGCATTTCAATGGCATGAGGTGAAATCTGTGTGTATGAGTGAATTCAACGGCTGGTATGGGTGGTAACCGGATACTACTGAGTATTTGGTTAGGTGTGTTGCTGAATGAGGTGAGAGCTAGTGCGGTTTTCAATTGGTGACGTCACTTGCTCTATGAACTGGAAGTAGTTGCTTTAAGAGAATCGCAGATTGTGTGGAGTGACTGGCAATGTATGTGGAGGGTCCCTGGTTCGAACCCAGGTAGGGACAGTGGGTAAAGCTTTCGCATTGGGGCTATGGACCTAGATTACTACGTGGATTGAGAAATGTGAGAAGTTGAATTAGATAGCTTTAGAAGTATTCTAGAAAAGTCTATGTAAATATGTTACAGGCCCCCGCGCCTCCCCTGTTGTGTAGGAAGGAGAAGGGGGGGAAGTAGGGGTGAGAGACAGTACATAGTTTAAATGATAGGAATATAATTAAATGTATGCTTATCAACGATAGCAAGTATTTGTTTTAATAATTAGGGCCTAATCAGAGAGAACAGTTAAAGAAATTGAATAGCGAACTGAAATGGCGATATAGCTGTGAAAATTATTTAAGTTGAGGACAAAGGAAAATAATTTATGATTCTAGTTCCCGGGTAAAAGGGTTGTACTTGCTTGACTAGATCGAGCAGAAGTTTTAATAGTTGAATGAAAAGCATTTCTTTGACGAAGTCTAATGGTTATTACTTTATTGTATAGGTTGGGTAACACCAGTGGTGTATGAAAATAATTGGTGAATTCTAAAACGATAATTGGGTTTCGTTACGTGAACAATTGTCACGGTTTCGGCCGAGGCGGCTCCTCCTCCTTGTTCGGGCAGGTTTCGCCGGTCGTCGTCTCCGGAGTTCTAGCTGCCACCGCTCTATGTTTCTTGTTTGTTTGGTTTTGTCTGTTAGTCACACCTGTTTTGTGTTATGTCTCATTTAGCACCCTATTTAGTTTCCTTGTTGTTAGTTTAGTGTTGTGTGTAATTGTTCGTGTCATGTTTGCGCTACCCGTGTCGGTACGCTATTTTCATAGCTTCCTCCTTGTGTGTTAGGAGAGTATTACGCACCTGTGTGTGCGCTCGCTATTACGCCTGTGTGCGTCCTTTTGCCTCCGGGCGGTTTGGATTTATTTTTGTGTGCTCAAGTAAAGTCTTGTTGGACTTATCCTCTGCTGCCTGCGCCTGATTCTACACCACACCTATACACAGCAACGTGACAACAATGGGATATCGTTTTTACTATTAGGATGATGGATTGGATAAACATTGGTTATAAGTATGAAGTTATTAAACAATAGGTTTAATATTTTAAAAACATCAATGCAACAGGTTGAGAGGATTAAATTAATAGAAAGGGGTTATAGGTTTATATTAGAAGGTGTAGTGAACTTAATGAAATGTGGTATTATATAGCGGCTTCCAGGATTGATGGAAGTCTCCTATAGCATTATGTTAAGGGAATGCCTGGGATAAAATATAATGTCTTATTTATACGGAGTATGTGATTGTATTGGCTAATGAATGAAATCTGACATTTACAGGGGCGAAAGGAACAATAGAAGGGGAAACAGATTTTCCTAGGGGGTTGATCAAATAATTGATAATGGATCATTTGAGATGAGATCACATGTAGCAGATTTAGGGTAATCAATTAAATAATCATTGTATACTCGAGGAATTTTGAGTGGTTTTATGGATTAGTTATGAGGAATTAGATTGATACAAACAATTATTGATGGGTTAGGACTGGGGATATCTGTATCATGTTTTGTGTGTACTACCATTTTTAGATTACTGATGGTAATTGAAGGTTAACAAAATGTATAACCAGGAGAAAGAGATTAGCTTATCTCATTGGAATGTTGCCCAGGGCTAGGGGGAGCAGTAATGAAGTTAGGCAGTATTTAGGTCATAAAAGTGAGCTACCAAATTAAGTGGGGCCTGGCTATTTGTGGTTGTTGTTTTTCAAATTGGGTTTTTCAAATAAAAAAACAACACACCTAGTATGTTGGTTATAAAGGGGGATTAGGGGATTTTCAACAGTTCATAGGTGGTGTTTACTATGCTGTGGGATAGAACGGTTTGTTGGGTGATTTCAATGGCCTCTGGGCTCTGTTTTGACTTTCTGGTGTTGATTGGTCATCCACACTGGTGGTTCTGGGGGCATGAGAGGAGGACTTTGGGATGGTTTATTTTATCAAATTGAGGGTAATTTATAGTGCTGTGAAAAGTGTGAAGAAGATTATAATTTGGTAATAATAGGATTTGAAACATTAAAATAACAGAAGACGGAGAGAGCTTTCCCTGAATGAAAGATACCTGTTGCTAGTCAATTGTACTAATCTTGGATTACTTTTACGGGATAGAAATAAGTTGAGATATTATCAAATGTTGTCATTTACATTTCATTTTTATTATGCTTTAATAAACAACAAGTTGGTATTTGAAACTAAATTAATGCAATGAGCTGCAGTAATCAGAGGAAGGCACAATGTAATGCGAAACAGCTATTGCCTAGTTCATTGATTTAGTAATAAGATCAGGAAGATAGTAGTAATAGGAAGCTGGATAGGATAATTTAAGATAGGGACTAGCTGTCCAGAAATAGATGAAGAATGATGAGCTTTTTGGGAATGATAGACTGCCGTAAAGCTTGGGTACTCCTTATGTACTGCATACTGGTAAATTAAGTGATCTTATCTATGGGAAGGCAATGGCAGCCCATGGTAAAATCATTTGGAACTCTGAGGAGGAAGAACAATTTATGAAGAGGAAAAAGTTGCTCACTTCCCAAACAGTCTTAGCTTTTCCTACATATAACAGGGATTTTACCCAAATGGTAGAGAGTAAAGAGGGATATATGACATTGGTCGTGATTTAAAGATGGTGATAAGGGAGTTTTTTTGGTGGGCTATTAGATATAACTGGGTTAATCACGAACATAGAGTTTTTATTCTTTGTTGCTAGGCAGAAGACTTAGGTGACCTAGGGTCGAAGTGCTTGCTCTTCCTTCAATCCATGGCTGTCTTTTGTCTCCCTTCAAACATTGTGAAGGGAGCGGCACCAGGGTTGAGCAGAGTTCAGGCTAATACCGGTCTCTCCTTTGCTATCTTCTTGATTGATTACAGCATGAAGGGGGGTTTGTGTTAGGTTTTAAATATTTAAGTATGGACCTGTCATGTCCAACCATCAGTCTTCAGGTCAAGCCCGGGAGAGCCGGGGTAGAAAAGAGTTTGAACTAAACATGAGTGTTTTTACAAGATAAGAGATTGATTGATTGGATTACTATTGATTCTGAACTGGATGAAAGTCGAATTTAGCCACCATAAAAGACAAAGGAAGTGGGAGGAGCAATAAAGAAGCAAGGGACAGTCTCAAAAATAAATAAGGGATGGCAATTGGATGATAAATTACCAATATTACCTAAGTGATTGTTTAGGTAGGTGGTAATATTGACACATGAGCAGAACTGTGTGTCAAGAGGGGGGAAGAGGCTAATGGTAGGATTAAATAATATACGAAGGAGAGGACAAAATACTTTTTAATTTTTTTTTTAGATACAGTCTAGAAAGAGAATACTGATGTGAGCGGTATGTCAGAGGTTTTGTGCCCCACAGGTGAACTAAAGGAGAAGGTGTCCCACTCTATCTAACCAGGTGACTGGTGAGCATCCAGTCCCTAAAGAAGAAAGACTGGAAGCAGGCCTGTTGGGAAGGGCCCTATCAGGTGATATTGGTCACTGCCTTTGCCATTAGAATAGCAAAAAGAGCAACCTGGGTCCACGTTACCCACTGCAAAAAGGTAAGAACACATACAAGCACCACTGAACACACGCAGAGTTAGAGAGAAGAACTGGACCAATAGGGTCTGGGGAATCACCTCTGTTAATGAAGATCTCCTACCCCAACCTATCATCACTGTAGTGTGTTCTCAGGGTGTGAGTATGGGGTGATACCAAGCAGAAAGACTGAGGACAGGAGAGGGTTGGCGGTTTTTGGGAATAGGGCTAACTTGAGCTGCATCATAGTCTCGGCAATGGTCTTGATATGTCAAGATCCACCACCAATTACGCTATGCCCTTACCATTGTTAAGAAGTAAAAGAGAAGAGAAGTGACCCGACATCCTGACCGTCAAGGACGAGTGGCCTACAAAATGGGAGTCAGAGAAGGGCAGACTGTCGGATTCAGAATAAGGGTTAGAGACGTAGCAACGTGGGATTATAGAATCCCATTGTATTTATGTTCAGCTCCCTCTGCGGATTGTTCCTGGGCTCAGATGTTTAGACATACTGGGGGATGGAGATATGAGACAGGGGGGGGCTGGACGTCCCGATGGAGGATAAGAAGGTATAACGACATCCCCACGGAGATGGTAGTAACAATAGTAAAGGTCACTAAAGAGGACATGAAAAGAACTTACTGGGCTTGCACGGACAAATACAGACGCGATACCTGTCTACGATTACATTTGGTGGAGTCGAAAGAGATGGAGGGCCCAGGTCCTGTCATTAATCCATTAATAGCGATTGACCGAGTAAATCAGTCAAAGGATGACGGAGTCAATTCAACTAACCCGTCCACGATAAAATATTTTCTCCTCCAAGAATGGAACCAAGGGGAAGTAGAGGGAGTCCCGGATGAAAATCTCTGGTTAAAGTGGATGAAGTACACTGGTAGGGCCTTGGGGAGACCAATTATTATGCATGCTCCATTGGGCGACCGACAATGTTGACCGCCCCAGTGCCAAAGGAAATGTTTACCTGTGTATTAGACCTGACTAGAGATGCAGTAAAGGGGATCTCCGAGTAATTATCCGCCATCCCACTCATGACTTAGTAAAAGAGGTTGGCTCTAGATCAGGCAGAAAGGGCCAATGTCTATAGAATGATAAGCCATTGTTGCACATTTATCCCTAACAACACCACACTGGATGGGACAGTCACCCGAGCTCTTGCAGAATTAACTGCACTAAGTGAAGAACGAACTGAGAACTCAGAAGTTAGTACATCGTGGATAGGGTGGTTTGATGAAATGTTTGGTAAATGGAAAACCATAGCAGCCACCATCTTAGGGGCAGTCAGTGTTTGTATGGGTATTCTTGTATTATGTGGTTGTTGTCTTGTTCCCTGTGTCCGAGGATTGGTGAGTAAGGCGTTGGTGAAATGCAGTATCTCAACAATGATGAGAGATGGACCGACTCCGGACTCTGACCAGGGGAATGTGAAAAACGATCCTCCAGGCTTGGAGGATGACGAGGATTTTGACCCTGAAAGACCGCCATTGGATGAAATGTTTATTAGTTCTGACGTAATCTCTGAGATTAATCATGCTTGTAAAATACATTTATCCTGAATGTGAAAACATTTAGTCAAAGGGGTGGATTGATAGATTAATTTGTATTTTAAGAATAATGACTAAAGGATTTCACCCCAAATACAGTATAAATGTGTGAACGGTGTTAGAGTTATAATGTAGGGTCAACCCACTAACAGAGGGGGAGGAGTTAGAAACTGCTGAGAAAGCATTCCAGGGTGAAGGGGACTGAGGAGCTGTTTAAAGGTGGGCGGAGCAAAGTGCCTTTGTGTGTCAGGGGGTATAAAGGCTGTGTATGTATTTTTTGGCGCCAGAGCTCTCCATGATTAAAAATACAGATCATTCTTGCTGGTTGTGGACCTTGAATCATTTATGATTAAAACCAGAGCCTTACAACCCCTGGTAATGATTCAAGCTTAGGTTGAATTAGAGATAGAAATTCTCATGATACTGACCCACTTCTACAGACTTTCTTTTTAACAGTCCTAGTGCCAATCTAAAATGTATTTAGCACCTAGCCCACTATTGCTATTTTACCTGCCTTGATTCTAAATATATGTTGTACATTTTTATTGTATATAATCTAATTTTTTTTCCTCCATAGAGCTTTGATATAACTACGTAATGAAAAGCGCTATACAAATTAAATGTATTATTATTATTATTATTATTATTATTATTATTATTATTATTATTATTATTATAATAATAATAATAATAATAATATTGGGTTCTCCAATGCAGATAAAGTAACAACTTGAAAAAACCTACCCTCGTTATCAGGGCTCTGTCCATCGGTCTTCACCCCCTCTGCCTCCCCAACTTTACTCCTTTCTGGATGGGAGGACCAGTGGGAGGAAGAGGAGTGAGAATGGGAGTGGTGGGAGGCCCTCCTCAGGCTCAGGCTCATCTCGCAGCGGACGTCGTTGATGCTCTTCTTGAGCAGTTTGAGGCGTTTGGAACGTGACGGGCTGGACTTCATGGAGAACGTCAGGTCCAGTTTCTCCAGCAGCTCTTTCAGCTGCTCCTCCAGAGGCATGTGTTGCCGGTTGGATGGGACCAATACCCGGTCCACTGGGAAAGGACAACAAGATAACACTGTCATTGGGAGACATTTGCTTGATGTTAACTAAACAATAAGTAGCCTAGGTAAGTATAATTATATTGAGGATCCAGATTAAGCAAACTCCTAGACAAAAATGCTCAAAGGAGCGAGTCAATTGAAAGTGCTTCTTAGACCAGGAATATGTTTTATTAATTTGGATCTGTGCAAACACTGCTGTCCGTTCCAGTATTCTATATTGACTCATTTATCCATTATATTTCTACAAACACTTCTACGGCCCTCTCCGTCTCTCTTTACCATCCTCCCAGGAAAACGGCGGAGGTGCTTCAATCTTGGGCGGTTCGGGCAGGTGCATCCCGCTGTCCTTCTCGAAGCCAATTCGCTCCACATCCCTCCGCGTCTTCCTGATCAAAGCCCCACCCTGGTCTCGGAGACGGGCGGCCGCCCGGTGGAAGAAGGTATCCTTACTGTTGTACTTCATACAGTTGAAGATGATGAGGTTGAAGTCGGACTCAAAGTCGTCCAGGTTGCTGTAGGCCTGGTCGTTAATGCGTTTCCTCATAGTGGAGAAGTCCATGGGGTTCTTGATGTGGTCAAGGTAGTCAGGCACCTACAGGTTTAATGATAGACAGAGATAAAAACATCTGATAGTCGGCGCCTACAGGGCATTGAGATGTAGATGTAAAATCCCCAGTCTGATATTTCTGGAAATTAATTTTGAAGATTTTAAAATCAGCCCAAATGAGATAGGCCAGATGCTATGCTAGGAGGAGAATGAAGAATTTAGATATAAATCTAGTATAGAAAACAAAATTAAATCATGAAAGTTAAAAAAAGAATAACGTGAAAGGGTATAAGCAGCATCTCAACTCTAGTCTTGCTGACACTAGACTTCTGACTTCAGAGTCTGGAGAGGCTGTTTGATGTTCAGGTTAATGAAGTTGATAATGAAGGCGACTGTGCTTTTTACTGCTTGGTTCACCTCTGTCTTTCTTCCTCAAACACCCACATGTACTGCCACACACAGCCCCCCCCGAGCGCCGCCCTCTTCCATTGTAACTGTTGGATTTTTAAATTCAAAACAACAAGAGGTTTAAACTCTCCAGGGAGGAAATAAACATGAGAACCAATAAAAGCTTGATCCATTTCTGGCCGAATATTACATTTTCAAACGGACTCTTGTCCAGACCAGCGCCTCTCCCTCGCTGTGCACCACACAAGTCACGTCAGCAAGGATATATCAACTCTCCATCATCTCAGGCCGTATGTACATGTTATTGTTAGAGCTGCTCTCCTAGCCATGGTAAGGTAAGTAAGCATTACCTCTTTGATGTCGACAGGCTGGGCAAAGATCTTTGCCTGGTCTCTCTCCTGTAGCTGTTCCAGCACAGACCTGAGCAGGATACTAAAGGGAGTCAACTGGACCTCCAACAGGCTCTGCTGCAGCTTCATCTGAGGACACACAGGGGACCATTAGCATCATCATGTACTGTATATGGCTGCTGAACCATGGAGGGAGAGAGACAGAGACAGAGAGGGGGGGGCTGCAGCTCCAATTTATACTATGCTACTAATTGTCTTATAGTTGGCTTGTGAGCTACAGTACCAGTCAAAAGTTTGGACAGTCCTACTCATTTAAGGGTTTTTCTTTATTTTTACTATTTTCTATATTGTAGGATAATAGTGAAGACATCGGAACTATGAAATAACACATATGGAATCATGTAGTAACCAAACAAATTTTATATTTGAGATTCTTCAAAGTAGCCACCCTTTGCCTTGATGACAGCTTTGCACACTCTTGGCATTCTCTCCACCAGCTTCATGAGGTAGTCACCTGGAATGCATTTCAATTAACAGGTGTGCCTTCTTAAAAGTTAATTTGTGGAATTTCTTTGAGCCAGTCAGTTGTGACAAGGTAGGGGTGGTGTACAGAAGATTGCCCTATTTGGTAAAATACCAAGTCCATATTATGGCAAGAACAGCTCAAATAAGCAAAGAGAAACGACAGTCCATCATTACTTTAAGACATGAAGGTCAGTCAATACGGAACATTTCAATAACTTTTAAAGTTTCTTCAAGTGCAGTCGCAAAAACCATCAATCGCTATGATGAAACTGGCTCTCATGAGGACCGCCACAGGAAAGGAAGACCCAGAGTTACCTCTGCTGCAGAGGATATGTTCATTAGAGTTAACTGCACCTCAGATTGCAGCCCAAATAAATGCTTCACAGAGTTCAAGTAACAGACACATCTCAACATCAACTGTTCAGAGGAGACTGCGTGAATCTGGCCTTCATGGTCGAATTTCTGCAAAGAAACCACTACCAAAGGACACCAATAAGAAGAAGAGACTTGCTTGGGCCAAGAAACACGAGCAATGGACATTAGATTGGTGGAAATCTCCTTTGGTCCAATGAGCCACATTTTTGATTTTTGGTTCCAACCGCCGTGTCTTTGTGAGACGCAGAGTAGGTGAACGGATGATCTCCGCATGTGTGGTTCCCACCATGAAGCATGGAGGAGGAGGTGTGATGGTGTGGGCGTGCTTTGCTGGTGACACTGTCAGTGATTTATTTAGAATTCAAGGCACACTTAACCAGCATGGCTACCACAGCATTCTGCAGCGATACGCCATCCCATCAGGTTTGCGCATAGTGGGCCTATAATTTGTTTTTCAACAGGACAATGACCCAAAACACTCCTCTAGGCTGTGTAAGGGCTATTTGACGAAGGAGAGTGATGCAGCAGATGACCTGGCCTCCACATTCACCCGACCTCAACCCAATTGAGATGGTTTGGGATGAGTTGGACCGCAGAGTGAAGGAAAAGCAGCCACAAGTGCTCAGCATATGTGGGAACTCCTTCAAGACTGTTGGAAAAGCATTCCTCATGAAGCTGGTTGAGAGAATTCCAAGAGTGTGCAAAGTTGTCATCAAGGCAAAGGGTGGCTACTTTGAAGAATCTAAAATATATTTTGATTGGTTTAACACTGTTTTGGTTACTACATGATTCCATATGTGTTATTTCATAGTTTTGATGTCTTCACTATTATTCTACAATGTAGAAAGACAAACCCTTGAATGAGTAGGTGTCCAAACTTTTGACTGGTACTGTATATGAATGTATTGTTGGCTTACAGGGACAGCTACAGTTATCTAACCTACCTCTTCTCTCTTGAGTTTCTCCCTCTTGCGTATGAGCTCCAGCAATAGCCTGGCTCTCTCCAGGTCATGTCTTAGACGATGCCACTCCTTGAGCTGCTCCTTCAGAGCCCGGCTCTCCTCCTCACTCTCCTTCTGTGGTGGGAATAACACACATCAGGATTTAGAAAACGTCGCAGACATATACAGTTAAAAAACAATATCACCAACATTAGGGTTAGAAAACAATGGCTTGTAATCCAACAAGGAGAGCAGTGGAGCTCTCATTTATACAAACAATGGCATGCCTCTGGGCAGTTTTGGCCTGTTGACATTGCTACGGTAATAAGGAGAGTGGTATGTTATAATGATAGGAGTGTGAGAGAGAATGGAGTGTACAAGCCAGGGGTCGAGAATTGTGTCAGAAACAGGGGGACAAGAGTGCATGACCGTCTGACTGACCGACTGTGCTGCATGGGTCTTCTGGTGGGACTGTTGGCTGGACTGTAGTCGTCTGATGAGGGGTAGTCCGTTCCTCGCCTGTCTCTTTAGAGTCCAGTAGTTTAGAGCCAGCTCCACAAACGCTTTCTTCTTCTGCATAGACACCCGGTTGAGGATGGTGTTTAACCTGGGAACAGATGGAGAAGATAGTAACGATTTTTAAATGTTGCTTATTGAAGTAAGGAAAATGTCCATGTCAAATTGAATAACACATGTTTTTTCACTTTAAGTCCTGACCTTCTCTTTTTCTATACAGTGCCGTGAACAGGGCCTGAAACAAATTTTTTGGTCCACCAGCCACTCAAGGGTTTTTCTTACCAGATTTATTTTGCATAATTACACCAAAAGACGGATGAGCATGCTTTGTAATGTTTCTAAAACAATAAATGTATTACTAGTAAGAAGTGATGTGGTATATTGCTCAATGTTATTTCATTATTTGTGACCGGAGACTTTTAACCAAAATATCACAGATGAGACAATGTTCAGCTGTCCCTTTAAGGGTGGGAGGTTACCATGGCAATGAGGACACCGCTTGAGTCCAGTGTGCCTGTGAGATAGAGAATCTGACTAGTAGCCAATGTGTCTTCGCTAGCAGTTCTTTGTGTGATTAGCTACCAGCTATGAAACAACAACAGAAACACTTTTAAAACAGCTACTGCAGCATTTATTTTTCTATAAATGTGTTCATACTTTACTTCTAACTCTATTTTTATTCACGAATACGAGTGAAATGCTTACCATTTGTGGAGCCCTTACCATTTTTTTTTTTTTTTTTTGGGGGGGGGGGATTATATAAGATACTGTTTGAAGAGGTAGGGTTTCAGATGTTTTCAGAAGATGGGCACGGACTCTGCTGTCCTAGCTTCAGGGGGAAGCTGGTTCCACCATTGGTGTGCCAGGACAGAGAAGAGCTTGGACTGGGCTGAGCGGGAGCTGCCCTCCCATTGGGGGGGGGAGGGCCAAGAGACCTGAGTTGGCAGGACAGAGTGCTCGGGTTAGGGTCTAGGGTTGGAGCATAGCCTGAAGGTAGGGAGGGGCAGTTCCTCTTGCTGTTCCGTAGGTAAGCACCAATGTCTTGCAGTGAGCTTCAACTAGAAGCCAGTGGAGTGTGCGGAGGAGCGGGGTGACATGAGAGAACTTAGGAAGGTTGAAAACCAGGCGGGCTGCTGCGTTCTGGATAAATTGCAGGGGTTTGATGGTACAAGCGGGGAGCCCTGCCAATAGCGAGTTTGCCCCCCTTTCTGATTCTCTGTTTTTGCATATTTTTTACACTGAATTTTATCAGATCTTCAACCAAAATCTAATATTAATATCAACAGCTACAGGAAGTGTTTGATTGCAGTCATTGCAGCTAAAGGTGGCACAAACAGTTATTGAGTGTAAGAGGGCAATTATTTTTTCACACAGGGCCATTGGGTGTTGCATAATTTTGTTATTTAAATCAATTTAATAATTATCAACATTTTGTGTTATTTGTTAAATATAATATTAGGTTTTGGTTGAAAATCTAATAGCATTCAGTGTCCATAATATGAAAATAGAGAAAATCAGAAAGGGGACTAATACTTTTTCACAGCACTGTATGGTGTATTGTACATTTACTGATACGTCTGGTCATCTGCAAATTATGAAAATTATGCTTAGATGAATAGGTGAGTGAATCTACCTTTGGGGAGGAAAGCTAGGCACAGACACGGGTGAGAATTCTTCCTCTGGCTCCACCTTCTTGCTCTTCCTCTTCCTCCCTTTCGCAAGTGCATTGGCGCCCCTCGTGTTCTCCCCTTTCAGAGGGGAACACAATCCATTTTGGGGTTTGGCGTCCTCGTAGATGGTGAGGGGTCTCTTGACCGAGCTGTTGGGGGTGTGAGCCCCGCAGTAAGCAGTCTTCTTCACCGAAAACGTTGGTTCGCCCGTCTCTGTTACCTCCTTGATGGGTTCCATCTTCATAAAGAGTCCGGCTTTCTGAGCACAGCTGACGTGGAAGGCGGTGTAGCAGTTAGCCTTGTGACACTGGATACAGGCCCCCACCCCCTTCTCCTTACAGAGGTAGCAGGTGAGCTTCCAGCGGGCGGACGGAATGTTGCTGACTCCGTCGATGGGCTCGATGAAGACCGTGTTGGAAAAACCTACCTCCGGCACCCACAGAGCGCACACCACATGACCCCAGCGGTCATCGTCAGTCTTTTTCACTGCTCCGCCTTTGTTAGGACACAGTATGCAGCCTGCGGGCTGGGTGGGTGACTGGAGGCAGTGCCGGCACAGCCACTGTCCCTCTGGGATGTAAGGGACACCGTAACACTCTTGGTGCACGGCCAGGTTGCACATGTCACAGAAGAGGATGACGTTGCTGTCCTGGCCGTCTCCATCCATGCAAATGCAGCAGACAGCGTCCTCGTCTATGGTGAGCTTGTCCTGGCCCTGGCTCTCCTTCTCCATCTGGGTCTCCTTCTCAAAGCGGTCCACCAGGAACTCAAACACGTTGTGGGACACCTGGTGGAGGGAGGGAGAACAGTAAACATTTGCACATTTATTGTAGTATTATACATTGTTGACCATTGTTGTGTTGTATTGTTTTCTTAACCTGTGATCCCCATTTGTTTGTTTCTTTGGGGGAGGGGGGAGCTAGCCTGAGTGTCAGTCTGTTTCTGCTCTCTTGTCTAGTTGGCAAAAGAGTCGAAACAGACTGAAATCAAATCCATGTTTATTAGTCGCGTACACAGTTTATCAGATGTTATAGCGGGTGCAGCAAAAAGCTTATGTAACTAGCTTCTAACAATGCAGTATAATGTAAAAGTTCACAAATAATCAAAAATGTATAAATAAATAAAATAAAAAACAAGAAATCAAGAAATGCCAGAATTAATCCAATTAACAACCCAAATACCACTGTAACAGTAATCCAAATGCACTCTATGCGTATATACACCAGATGAAATTTACACAAGATATCATTCTTAGTAAATGTATACTTAGCAGTAGCTATACGCTGTTTGTACAAAACATTAGGAACCCCTTTCTAATATTGAGTTGCACCCCCTTTTGTCCTCAGAACAGCCTCAATTCGTTGGGGCATGGACTCTACAAGGTGTCGAAAGCGTTCCACAGGGATGTTTCCCACAGTTGTGTCAAATTGGCTGGATGTCCTTTCGATGGTGGACCATTCTTGATACACACGGGAAACTGTTGATCGTGAAAAACCCAGCAGCATTGCAGTTCTTGTCACACTCAAACCGGTGCGCCTGGCACCTACTTCAATACCCTGTTCAAAGGCACTTAAATCTTTTGTCTTGCCCATTCACCCTCTGAATGGCACACATACACAACCCATGTCTCAATTGTCTCAAGGCTTAAAAATCCTTCTTTAACCTGTCTCCTCCCCTTCATCTGCACTGATTTGAAGTGGAATTAACAGGAGACATCAATTAGGGATCATAGCTTTCACCTGGATTCACATGGTCAGTCATGGAAAGAACAGGTGTTCCTAATGTTTTGTACACGGAGTGTATCAGAGCGAGCTATGTCAAGAATCCAGTTTATAAATAAATATGTGGCGTATAAAGAGTGTAACTAAAATGCAATGCACAGTAGTAGAAATATTAGAATAAGCCGTCGAGAATACAGTATTTAAATACACAGTACAAAACCCCATGTCAAAAAGAATTGACTGGCACCCAGGCTACGGGGGAGCAGCCTCACCATGAAGTTTTGTAATTCTGAAAAGGCGTAATTTATAAAGAAACGGCCTACCTGACTGACACCTTCACTTCTCCTCTTATCGTTAACTACTTCCAGCCAAGCGTAGTCCTCCTCATCCATATCATACTCCACTTCCTCATCCAGCTCCTCCGACGTCTTCTCCACATACTTAAAATACACTGGGGGCCTCCCGGGGACAGCTGGAAGGTTATACTCCACAGTCCGGATCTTGGCCTCTGGAAGTGTCTGTGCTGGTGCTGCCTGTGCTGCTGTAGATCCATGTGTTGTGTGGTTCTGTGCGACCGCAGCTGCACTCCTCTTCTCCTGGCTGTTTTTTAACCGGACGGAGCGCATCAGCGTCTGCTGAGGCTTCTCCATGTTCTCCTTATTGCTGGTGCACTCCATAATCTCCTGGGCCGTAGGGTCATCATCCGAGATCACATCCAGCTTGTCGTAGATGCTGATCCGGTGCACCCGGCCGTCAATCTCCATGTCCACCATGCGCTGGGCCTGGGCGTAGGTCAGAGTCTGTTTGTTGGGGGACGGCCGGATGGGGGAGGGCGGCCGCTGGGGCACGGGGACCCTGTGGTGCCGAGTCTTCTTCCTCATCCTCAACACCTGAACAGCTGCAAGGAGAAGAGAAGCAGGTACATAGATGAGTCTATATCACAACACGATAAAGTAAACAAGCATGGGGAAGACAACAGAAGCAGACAGATTACCATCACAACACAATGTCATTAAGTAAAAAAAACTGTGTAAACAAATAGTTTCTTTTTGACTGGTTTTACCTCCTAAGAGTGTGGTAGCGGAGACAAACACCAGGACAATGTAAACAAGCATCAACTGGTTTAGGTATTTGAATAGATAGCTGGAAGTTGGCCTATCTGTTGATCGACAATGTGTGATATCAGTTTGAGGATTTACATTTCAATAGCATTGTTGAATTTTAATTTGTTTACATTTGGAACTATAATGTATAATCATGAGTGGAAATGTGGACTGGGAGAGTGGTGCATCTGCTAAGACATATGAATATAAAAGTGTGTCACTAAAAAGCATGAGGGACAAGGGGATATTAGAGGGAAAAGGCATGGCTTGTGTTCAAAAGAAATTCAGGTTTCCCATGACAGCAAAAGTATGAGATAACTGCTAACGTTATCACCACCGCTGCAGTGCAGGCAGCTGCTGACAAGATAAGAGTTGAATTAAAAGTGTGAACAAGAAACATCTCTGCATGGGTATGTATGGAGAATGTGTTCCGCTTTAGAGTGGTTGGTTGGATGGATACATATATACACACATATACACTACCAGTCCAAAGTTTGTACACACCTACTCATTCAAGGGTTTTTCTTTATTTTTACTATTTTTTTTACATTGTTGAATAATAGTGAAGACATCAAAACTATGAAAAAACACATATGGAATCATGTGGTAACCAAAAAAGTGTTAAACAAATCAGAACATATTTTACATTTGAGATTCTTCAAAATAGCCACCATATGCCTTGATGACAGCTTTGCACACTCTTGGCATTCTCTCAACCAGCTTCATGAGGTAGTCACCTGGAATCCATTTCAATTAACAGGTGTGCCTTCTTAAAAGTTAATTTGTGGATTATCTTTCCTTCTTAATGCGTTTGAGCCAATCAGTTGTGTTGTGACAAGGTGTGTGTGTGTGTGTGTGGGGGGGGGGGGGGGTATACAGAAGATAGCCCTATTTGGTAAAAGACCAAGTCCATATTATGGCAAGAACAGCTCAAATAAGCAAAGAGAAACAAAGGTCGATCATTACTTTAAGACGTGAAGGTCAGTCGATACGGAACATTAAGAAATTTGAACGTTTCTTCAAGTGCAGTCGCAAAAACCCTCAAGCGCTATGATGAAACCGGCTCTCATGAGGACCGCCACAGGAATGGAAGACCCAGACTTACCTCTGCTGCAGAGGATAAGTTCATTAGAGTTACCAGCCTCAAAAATTGCTTCACAGAGTTCAAGTAAGAGACACATCTCAACATCAACTGTTCAGAGGAGACTGCGTGAATCAGGCCTTCATGGTCGAATTGCTGCAAAGAAACCACTACTAAAGGACACCAATAAGAAGAAGAGACTTGCTTGGGCCAAGAAACACGAGCAACGGACATTAAACCGGTGGAAATCTGTCCTTATGTCTAATGAGTCCAAATTTGAGATTTTTGGTTCCAACCGCTGTGTCTTTGTGAGACGCAGAGTAGGTGAACGGATGATCTCTGTATGTGTGGTTCCCACCGTGAAGCATGGAGGAGGAGGTATGATGGTGAGGGGCTGCTTTGCTGGTGACACTGTCAGTGATGTATTTAGAATTCAAGGCACACTTAACCAGCATGGCTACCACAGCATTCTGCAGCAATACGCCATCCCATCTGGTTTGTGCTTAGTGGGACTATAATTTGTTTTTCAACAGGACAATGACCCAACACACACTGTGTAAGGGATATTTGACCAAGAAGGAGAGTGATGGAGTGCTGCATCAGATGACCTGGCCTCCACAATCACCCGACCTCAACCCAATTGAAATGGTTTGGGATGAGTTGGACCACAGAGTGAAGGAAAAGCAGCCATCAAGTGCTCAGCATATGTGGGAACTCTTTCTAGACTGTTGGAAAAGCATTCCAGGTGAACCTGGTTGAGAGAATGCCAAGAGTGTGCAAAGCTGTCAAAGGCAAAGGGTGGCTACTTTGAAGAATCTCAAATAAAACATATTTTTTTGGTTACTACATGATTCCATATGTGCTATTTCATAGTTTTGATGTATTCACTATTATTCTACTATGTAGAAAATAGTAAAACTCAAGAAAAACCCTTGAATGAGTAGGTGTCCAAACTTTTGACTGGTACTGTGTGTGTGTAATATATATATATATATATATATATATATATATATATATATATATATATATATATATATATATCTGTCTGGTTATTCTTATGGATCATTCAATATGAGACTGCAAGATCCCTCAGTAAATAACACAGGACCTAAACATTACAACACAAGACAGACACAGGAAATGTTTTGGGTTGCTAGAGACAATCTAAATGTCTAATCAATAACGTTTGCTATGCCAGAGGACAAATTGTTCACACACAGTCTGCGTAAAGCAAGGGAAGGGTTTAATTTAGCCTTTTAAAATGGTGTTAACTTTGTAGCGCCTTGGAGTGGCAGCCAACTGAGCCCCCCACCCACCAAACTATAAACTGCACCATGATAAATCGCACCATTTCATTTACCATTTGGTCCGTTCGGGGATGTCATGGTTGCTTCTAGCAAACTAGCAGCTGGCTGAAGAAAGAGAACAGCTATACCAACGAATAGCGCAAACAGAGGAAGCCAGTGTGGGCTAGTTGCTAACAATACATTACTGTAGCTACTAATGCTAGTTACAGTTAGCTAACAACCTAACGTTAGCAAATGGCGTCAAACTAAATCAGGCAAAGGAGCCCTTTAAACATGTATTGTGCTCCTTACAAGACACGCAGAATTAACCAGTTACTGACCGACTATGCTCTTCATAATCCATGATATAATGCATCGGGGAAAATAAACAAAAAAAGCACATACCTCAGAACTAGAAACAGCTTTGCTGGTTGTAGATAGAAGCTCGTCAACAGCCTTTGAAAGCAATGGCGATGTGGCCTGCTCAATGGCTGTAATTCCGTATACAATGTTCTCATCCAACGGGAGATGTTTAGGCTTTTTCAGTAATAAAGGAGAAGAATGCAGTTGGAAGCCCTCTGCGTCTTGGTAAATACTAGATTGGGTTCTATCATGCGCATAAAAGTATTTGCTCATGGACCTGAATTGGCTTCCTCCCTATTGCCTGGAACCGTTCCGAAACCGCAAGCTCGAGCTCTTCCCCCCACAACAATGCAGTGCACGAGCGTTGTTCCACCCGCTACGCACAACGGAACTACCAACGCTGTAGGTCATGTTGTAGCGTGGGTACAGAGGTTATACACAGAAATAGAACAATGAGCCAGATATTTCACCAGATGTTTAAATGTGACGCATCCGGTTGACATTCTGCAAATTTGCTCATCGATGAAACATTTGATCTCCATACAGTTTTCTGTTTCCAAGAATATGTAACAAAGAGAGTGGACTGCGTTTTGTAAACTTTAGCCTTTGCCAAAGTTTTTAAAAATTGCGTTGTTTAGGAGTGCAAGGGTGAATTGAGTTATTGCACACGCGCACTTCACAGAGTCGGCGTTCCCTAACGGAAATATGCAAATAAATGCTAGAACGAGCCAATAGGATTTCACTAGCTCGTGCTTGGCTCTGCCCAACTCCTTGCTTGTTCTGCCCACTATGTGTAATTTGCTCCCATTCGCAACGACCAGCTCTGGTCTATCTTGGGTTAGTTATAAAAATCTTTGTTATCCATGCCAGAAGAGTAGTCGACCAATCAAATGAGGGAGTGTGATTGGTCATCCGATTGGTCGATTACTCTGCTGACACTCACAAACAGATCAATAAAAACGATGTTTTGTCTGATCCATATAATCTGTCTACGAAAAGGAGAGACACAAATCCAATATGATGTCCATCTAACCTGGAGAAGGAACTTATTGTCCAAAAACAAACAAAAGTGGCTCTGACCCACACTCACCGGGGATATGGCCGATGTTCTCCGCTGGTGCCAATTTGATATACTGTTCGCTCAATGAAGTTAAGAATTTTGATAACTAAAAGACAGATTGGAGTCTTTACATCAGTAGCCATTTGCTTTCCAAACTGTTTTTCCGCGATTGTATTTTTAAATATTGAGATATGCCTGGCTGGGTCTTTCTGCTTTTCACTGGCAGTCGCAACTCAATCATCTATTTGGTATTTGCAGCGCGTGCTCCCCAAATTGCGGGCACTTCCGACTGTAGGCTATGCGATTTAAAACAATCCACAGCTTAAAAAAATAAGCTTATGATCCTCTGTGGCCAAATCATGCTTTCTGGTGTAGTAGACTGTTTTTTATGATTGTATTTATTCATCTATAGACAGGAGTAAGCTGTACCTTAGGAAGGCTTATGCCTTTTAATGTGGCAGAAACACAATCAGTCATGATGTTTTCATCTAATTGCCAAACAATCACTTAACTAAGCCGCTTGCGAACATGCATTCTCTCACAAAATAATTTCAGCATCCAAACCCCAACAGTGCACTGGCACCCGCAATTTGATTAATGGAATGAGGCATTAGTTACTGTAGTGTCGAGACAACGATGCTGACATGCTGTGATGACAAGAAATCCGCTGATACTGTCCTTGATTATAATGGTTTATTACATCAAAGATAACAGTATCAATTTACAGACTCCTGCAGATATCTGGAGAACAACTGACCCAATCTCTAATATGTTATTCCTCTCCGTCCTTTGTTCCAACCATGGCATTTATAATATGTAACATAATATGGGTGGTTTTTTATAGACCAATCCCTGGACTTTACATAACAGACTCTCCTCTGTTTTAGGGGGCCCCTATAGTAATGCTTTCCAGATGTCGCCGCAAAGCAGAGCCAAATTCTGGAATGTTCAGATTTACATTTAAGTCATTTAGCAGACGCTCTTATCCAGAGCGACTTACAGTTA